ATCACGGCTGCATAAAAGCCCTGACGCCCTGGAAAGCTGTCGACTGGTATCAGTCCGGCGTGAGTTTGGGCGTGAACACAAGGAGAAAAATGATCACGACAGATGCCTCCAAAATAGGTTGGGGGGCCCTTTACGAGGGCAGGCCTGTCTCCGGTTTGTGGTCAAACCCGGAGAAGCGCCTACATATAAACTGTCTGGAATTGAAAGCGGTCGCTTTGGCTCTCAGAGCCCTGCTCCCGTACCTGAAGGACGAGCACTACCTAGTCCGAACGGACAACATGACAGTAGTCTCGCATATAAACCGTTAGGGTGGACTCAGATCGAGCTCCCTGCACTCGATGGCCAGGGAGCTCCTCCTATGGTCCCAGCGCAACCTGCGCTCGCTGAGAGCAGCGCATGTGCCAGGTGTTCTGAACCAGGGAGCGGACATGCTGTCCAGAGACAAAGTTCTCCCAGGAGAATGGTCTCTCCACCCCCTGACGATTCAGTGGTTATGGCAAACCTTTGGCAGAGCAGTGGTCGACCTCTTTGCCTCCAAGGAAAATGCGCACTGCCCTCTCTTCTTTTCAAAGAGCACAGACGCGCTCGCCCAAGTCTGGCCGAGCCGCCCGCTGTATGCCTTCCCTCCGGTCGCGATGCTACCTCAGGTCATCAGTCGGATCAGGGAGGAAAAATGTGCAGTGCTCCTGGTAGCCCCACTCTGGAATAACCAGACGTGGTTTCCAGAACTGATGCAGATGATGCAATCTGCCCCATGGCCGATTCCACTGAGGCTAGATCTCCTCAGGCAGGCCAACGGGATGATCCTCCATCCCCGCCCCGATCTGTGGGCCCTCCATGCGTGGCTCCTCAACGGATTCCCGGGAACCTCCCCAGTGGAGTGTTGAGAACCATCACTGAGGCGCGAGCGCCCTCTACGAGGCACTTATATGCCCAGAAATGGAAGGTGTTCAGTGACTGGTGTAAATCCAGGAACCTGAATCCTGAGACATGCGAAGTACCGAGTGTGCTCGTTTTCTTACAAGAGCTGTTGGAGGCAGGCCGCACCCCCTCCACGCTCAAAGTATATGTGGCTGCCATAGCGGCATCACATGAACCGGTCGAAGGACGCACACTAGGGAAAAACTACCTAGTTGTTCGTTTCCTGAGGGGCGCCAGGAGGATAAATCCCCCACGCCCCCCCTCGGTGCCGATTTGGGACCTGGCCACGGTCCTGGACGCACTTAAGCATGCCCCGTTCGAACCCCTCCGAACTGTGCACCTTAAACAGCTTTCGCTCAAAACTGCTCTCTTGCTGGCTCTCGCCTCGGTCAAGAGAGTGGGCGACCTGCACGCGCTGTCATCAAGCGCTACCTGCCTGGAGTTTGGACCTAACGACAGCAGGGTTGTCCTCAGGCCAAAACACGGGTATATTCCTAAGGTGCTCTCTACTCCTTTCAGAGCACAGGTGATATCTTTGGCCGCGCTATCGTCCCCAGCAGACGAAAGTGACGCTAATTTACTCTGCCCGGTCAGGGCACTCAGAGTATATTTGGAACGCTCTGCCCTGTTCAGACAGACAGAGCAGTTGTTCGTATGCTTTGGCGGCCGCACTAAAGGTCTGGCTGTGTCAAAGCAAAGAATATCGCGCTGGATAGTTGATGCTATAGCGCTGGCTTATGAAGCCAAGGGCCTTCAGTGCCCCTTGGGCATCAGAGCTCACTCTACGAGAGGCATGGCCTCCTCGTGGGCGTGGTCGAGTGGGATACCCATTCAAGATATTTGTGCGGCTGCAGGCTGGGCCTCACCGTCCACATTTATCAGGTTTTATAACCTACAGGTCCCCTCATTGCACTCTAACATACTGTGGGTCTAACTATGCATAGGCTGGGGTGTGTACATGCTGAGCATTGTCTTCTCCCTCATAGAATCCGTCTTTGACTGATGTAGAGGATTTTTCATACATGACAGTACATAAAAATGTGCTTGTGTGTGTCTCTGGACGCCCATCGGGCCGTTCCAAGTTGTCCTTTTATAAAGCCCGCCTTCGGCTGGCTCGTTGGATAATTACTTTGCTCGAAGGCTCAGACATCTGCCTCCGGCTTAATAGAGCGAAGTCAGCACGCACGGCGTTTTACATGGCGTTCCCATAGCGTAAGCTATTACGCAATAGAAGGAACCTCTCGAAAGGGAATGACTCGGTTACTAACGTAACCTCGGTTCCCTGAGAGGAGGGAACGAGTATTGCGTAATCTGCCATGCTTGTGCTTGGTCAGTTTGCTTCAGTCGATTGAACCTAAAGAACTCAGACGACGGGGCGCCCAATATATAGCCCTTGGCCACGCCCATCTTGGCGGGCTCTGACGCGCGTGGGCGCGAAGCACGCTCATTGGAAGCCAGGGCTGGACTGGGAAAAAAAATCGGCCCGGGCATTTTGGCCCAGACTGGCCCACTATATAACACAACCGAACTTTGCACGCCCTTGAATATGTACACCAACTCCTATTAAAACCACTAATGCAATAAGTGAATATGAGTGAGTAAGAGTTAACCGATGAAATAACTACCAAGTTGAACTATACTCCACAGTGATGAATCCTAAAGAAAGCTATAAGCTGGGATCGCAATACCGGTTTTTCCCACAGGATTATGGGAAATCTGTGGTGAGTGCACCTCTGTCCCTCTAGGGGGGTTCGGGGGCATGCTCCCCCGTAGGAAAATTTTGTGCTTTTTAATGTTAAATTCATCAATCTGGTGCACTTTGAGAGTTAAAAATAAAGAGCTCCAACCCATATTCAGTGTGCAAATTGAACAAAGAAAAACTCAAAACTCTTTTAGTTGTGATATAGTGTCTGTCTACATTACACTACTACATAATAATAGTTATAATATTAATCCCATGGCAGTAATAGCCATATGTTGTAAAACAAATGCACTGAAAAATAAAAGCAACTTTCATAATTAGTTTCGTACTAATTTCTATACAGAGATAAGCACATGATCTTTTATTTTGACGGAAACGGCATCGAGCTTTTATTTTGAAGAAAAACATGGTTTACAAACTCATTACTCATTATTGTCTCATTACAATTCTAATAAAATGCGTAATCGTCAAATATGCAGATGTGTAAATAATGCGTAACTGGGTAGTGGGTTCCTACATAGCCTAAGTGTTGTGACAGTAGCCTAGTTCTGCTTACCACAGTTCTCTGCACTCACTCATCTCTCTCCTTATCCTCCTCGCTATCCTCATCAGACACTTGAAGGGCCTTTGAAGTTTCTTTTTTCACGCTATTTCTCTGCACATTCCTTGCGTTTCTTCTCCATCGCTCTGACTATTTTGACAGATACACACTGACACTGCTCGCTCACTCAGAGCTCAAAGGGGGAGGAGTTTAAAGATGTGATTGGACCAGGCCAGTGTCAATCAAGAAAATAACCAATGGGCCGCTGATCTACGCGTTTCATCATGCGCCGGTCTGTGAGAAAAAGAAAAACCTACGCTGACTTTTTTGTCCAATGCATTACACCGGCACAAAGATCCCAGAGCCGCCAATTAAACAAAACTAAACGCAATGGGCCGCCAATGTACGAGTTTTATGGGCCGTTCAGAAAAAAAAAAAAAAAAATGAAGTATGAGATGTATCGGCCCACAAAGCACGTCGGCCCACCGGGCAAATGCCCGGTATGCCCGATGGCCAGTCCAGCCCTGTTGGAAGCGGGTTCAGAGTCGCCCCGTCATTGGTTCGTGCAAGTTGCCGCAGCACAGCCAATGACCGAGCTGCCTCGCTCATTGCTGTATGCTGTGCAGCTGCAATGCGTTTTACATAAAGACTTCAATATTTCTCGAGAAAAGGAGTTTTCCCCATAGCGTAAGCTATTACGCAATACTCGTTCCCTCCTCTCAGGGAACCGAGGTTACGTTAGTAACCGAGTCGTTTTGTTATCTGCCGCTTTAAATGCTCGAGCTCGTTACAGCAGGATGGATTCTGATTGGCTGTCAATGTTTTTATCGTTCATCAGCGGGGTAAAAATCGCTCTGAAAGTGTTCTTTCTCTGAGCAGTTATTATTATAGTTGTGGTGGGGAATCTTATATATTTAGAAAGATTTTAAGAATCTTATCGTAATTGTTATAGTTATCGTCCTTGGTGTGAAAGGACCTTACATACCATTATAAATTTATAAAATATGAATACAATCATTCAGTACCATGCTAAATATCAATCAAAGGAATATAGCCAGCACTGACAATTTTTTTTTTTTTTTTTTTTTAAAGACCTAAATATTCTGAGATAGTGGTCCCATTTATTTATTATCGGTAGTAAATCGTATTTGTGGCAGAAACTGGTTAATCTATGGGTTAAATCAATAAGAAAATGAAATAATTTTCTTATGAAATGCAAATTAAGATGTTTTTGATGAAATTTGAGAAATGTCTGTCCCTCCATGTAAAAAAGTTTCGTAAAAGCTTCAAAAAGTTTATAAAAAGATACTAAAACTAATCAATATGAATTTATGAATTTGAACGGTTTAGTCCAAATTTTCTGAAGAGACTCGATCGCTTTGTGTAGTGGTAGTTGCGTAGCTGTCAATGGAGGGACAGAAGTCACAGAAAGCTCTCAGATTTCATCAAAAACATCTTAATTTGTGTTTCAAAAATGAAGTAATTAATGACATATTTTTTTTATTTTTGGGTGAACTATCCCTTATGCTTAAATAAACAACAAGAAGTGATACACTAAAATTATTGTGATTTTAATTGAAAACAATTATTCAAACATTTAATTATATATAATAGAATTAAATAATAATGTCTGAAAATGTTAATGAAAAACAATTGTGTCTAAATTCTAGGAAAATGAAGGTGAATGTATAAACGTAAAGATGTTAACTAAATTATATTTATACATAAATTATATAACAAAACTATATTTACTAAATCCTTTTTCCATGAATGGCCTCTTGACGTCGCTCACACGTCCACGCGCGTGACGTCACCTCCATTCACAGGCGCTGATTTGTCGGGAATTACTCGACTTCCGGTCGAGGAGAAACACAAGAGACTTCCCTGCGGTAGCGGAGCCGGAGACACACAATAACAAAGCCATGGGAGAAATGTCCGGCTTCGAGAACAGATTTCACTCGTACTCCGCCACACAGCTACACGAACTGCTGGAGGACGATGACAAGCTCCGGAAAATCGTCAGGGAGATGGACGAGGTTGGTGACCGCTTACATGTCAGGCACGAAACGCTCATTTTATCCTGAAATATGATCATAGTTTCTCTTGACAGTGAGTGTAGGTCGGTGACAGGTGCGCGAGCTTTGATTTCACTGCTGGTTTTGTGTTCATGTGTTATTATCTTGAATGGAGACCTTTCACCTTTGACTGCATCAATATTGGTTGCATTAAAAGTATTGTTGACTGAAGGAGGGGCAGGAATCAGGAGACGTAGATGGAATGAAAACAGTGTTACAGTTCAGAATGGAGGCAATAGGAACTGAACTGCTCATATAAAATAAAGACAAAAATATGATTGTGATATATTAAATACTGGCATGTATTTATTGTGTATGAACAGACAGATGCTGTCAAACAAACATGCAAATCTTTTCTGGATTGATTATGTTCAGCCATTTAATTACTATGTATAACAATGCTGATATTACCTTCATAGGATTATTAATGTTTCATGTAACCTTGTCTTCGCTCCATTCTTAACTAATATATATATATATATATAATTGACATTTGTCTTTATTCCAATATAAAACACTTTATTGTATATTTGCTGTATAAATAATCTTGCTTTGCATTGTTAAATATTTGAAAAGATCCTTGCAACATACACTATCATAAATTGTAAGTTTTCCATGCAGAATGCATGCAATGGTTTTCATTTATATAACTGGTCTGGTTAGGATGATCCAAAGTTGACCCAGGAATTATTTCTTGTGTTTATTTGACTTTGTGAATTTCATATTAGGGTATTTTTCCCATATGTTGCACACTGATTTCATCTAGGAGACCAGAGGTTTGACACTAGCTTCTCTTGTTTGTGACTTTGTTGCCGTCACAGATGCAGGAAATGCAACAGAACAAAGAGCTGACGATCGCCAGTAACCGCAGCCTGGCCGAGCAGAACCTGAGCCTTCAGCCTGAACTGGACCATCAGAAGATCCAGCTGACCAAACGCTACTGCTGTTTACAAGATCTGCACGAGTCCTTTCAGATCCGCAAGTCCACGCTAGGTGCGTGAACACACACTCTTCAGACCATTCACAAACATGTGTTCTGTTTAAAATGATCAAACAATAGATATATTAATAGTTATTTGGGTCCGGTTCCTCTAATAGAACACCTGTGTGAAATTGGGGAGAACCGACTTCATACATGCACTGAAAATCACCGAAACACCAGCTGATTCAAAATGATGAAGAAAAGTGAAGTTACTGAAGAGTAAAGATCCTGAAGCATTATTTGACACACGCATGCAATTACGTCCAGACATTTTTAAGCATGACTTAAGTATCCAGATACTTCGAAAACGTTAAATAATTCAAATATTTCAGTGTAGACGGGAACATAAAAGAGCACATCTTTTTGTCTTCCTCCTTTGGTGTAAAACAATAAAGCATCCCGGTGAACCTGTTTGGCCACATAATGCTTCCTTTTTATAGAAGGAGATTTGCTGCTCTCTTGAGCTGCACTGGATACTGATCATGTCAGGTCAAATACACACATCTCTGTGGAAGGCTCGTGTTTCTTGCTCTGCATTTATCCAGCTTTCTCCATACTTTCAGTATCAGTTTACCCAGTTTATCAGGGTCAATAGGATACGGCAGACAGACAACAGTTACGGCAATACAAAGAATAATTTCCCAAAGAAACCACACTGATGTAAAGTTACACACACTATGCCAAACACACCCATTTTATGAGGATTTCTTCCATCAGACTGTATATGACCCATTTGAAAGGATACAGTGACATGACTTTCATTTTTTGTTGTTGTTGCATTTATGCACAACTTGATCTTCTGTTTCAAATATCAACCTTAAAGGGACACTATGCAGCTTTTTTAGCTTAACTGAACAGCTTCAGAGTTATTGAAATGGTTATATAACTTCTTTCGGGTTGAATGGTGGGCGTCTCGACCCCCCCTGGTGCCTGTGAGCGCAAAAATCCCACTTGCAACTTCGGTGCGGCGGGCCGCGTCAGGAAGTATCGCGTGATATCAGCTCTCGCGATGTAACATATTCCTTTACGGCAACTGCACACATACACACAGGAACAAGGTATAGATGGATGGAGTTTGTCACACTATCGTCATGGCTGAGCCGGCATATAAGATGCAGAAAGCTAGGAAAGCATTGTCGGAGGAACAGAGAAAGAGGAAACGGCAGACTGACCGAGCGAGGAGTCGGACACGAGCATAGGCATAATTTGCGGGTGTGTTATGTCCCCATTGAAACTTCTCGCGGCACGGATGTAACGTTACCATTACAAACAAATAAAACATCTCCAGGTAACTCTAGTAGAGCATTCATTTTGTTCGTTTGTTAAATAAGAGGCGATCTGAAATGTGTTATTTTTGAAATCAAGTGACCAAAGTGCTCGTTGCCTCTGCGATCAGTGGTGCAGATAAGTTACAGTGTTCTGTTGTGACGCGCGCCTGAATCCGTTGCGGGGACTGAGAGACTCTATATTTTGTTATGGTGAAATCACAAAATCTAATGCACAAAAAACATATCCCTGCTTGAAATACAACCACTAATAAACAATCGGTTTTGATGAGGAAAATAAACTTTACTACTAGTACCGATTAACCCAGAACCTCTGACACAATTGGCAAAAGTTCTGCCTCTGGACCATTAAAATTGTCGGATCTATGTATTTAATCACGTGAAAATTCTCACCACTAACAACATATATTATATCTCATTAAACGACAAATTAAACACAATGTACTATTGTATACTATGTAACAGGGCATGTCACGCTCTGAGTGAGTGGTATTTACGACAGTAACGTTAAATTCAAGTACTCCACAGTAACTCTAGGGGTCGCTGTTTGACAAAAACGGGATTTCTGCATAATGCCCCTTTAAGTATCCCTCCATGATTTATTGTTTGATCAGATACATGAAAAATAACCACTTACAGGTGAAACTCGAAAAATTAGAATATCGTGCAAAAGTTCATTTATTTCAGTAATTCAACTTAAAAGGTGAAACTTATATATAATATAGACTCATTACATGCAAAGTGAGATATTTCAAGCCTTTATTTGTTATCAAAATTAGAATATTGTGAAAAGGTTTTCATAAGCTGTAAGCCATAATCATCAGAATGATAACAAATAAATGCTTGAAACATCTCACTTTGCATGTAATGAGTCTATATATTAGTTTCACCTTTTAAGTTGAATTCCTGAAATAAGTGAACTTTTGCACGATCTTCTAATTCATCGAGTTTCACCTGTATTTCTAAAATGACTGTCCAGTTAAAGAATGCATTATTAATGTGAGTCTAATGGAGACAACTGGATGCCACTTGGTGAATTTCAGCATTTCAAAATATTTAAGTTTGTTCTGTATGTAATCATGATTTAAATCGGAACCTTTTTCAGGAAACAGTTCACTAGACACGCTGTTGGCTCTTTTGCAAACCGAAGGAGCCAAGATCGAGGAAGAAACGGAGGTGAGGACATTTTTCCTATTTTCAGAAACGCATAACATTTTTAACTCTTATGAGGCGTGTGTAATGTCTTAAGATTCTCCCACGTTTTCTAGAACATGGCCGATTCATTCTTGGATGGATCGTTGCCTCTGGACAGCTTCGTTGAATACTACCAGAGCAAGAGGACGCTGGCGCATCTGAGGCGTGTGAAGATCGATAAGCTACAGGAGATGGTGCTGAAGGGTGTTCATCTTCCTCAGGGTTCCTGTAATGGTCCTTCACAAGCTCAGGAGACCCTTAACTCCAGCGCACCTTTCCAAAGGCTAGCTAATGGTTCTCCAGCTCATGTAAGACCATCAGCCACGTCACACCCTTACAACTCTCAGAGCAACAGTGCTCCTCTGCCAAACATGCTGCCGTCATATTCACGTCCATACCCTCAAGGCCCCGGCGCTGCTCTTCCTCCGCAGGCAGGGTTTATAATGCAATGATGTTCTTCTGCCTGATCTCTTCCATTAGAATGTGAAAGGCCATTTTCTCCCCTTTTTCTTTAGATGCACTTTGTTCTTAAACAGCTGTGGGTTTCTGACTCATTTGTAGGTCCACACAGAATCTGTTCCCACAGAACTCTGCCAGTTGTATGTATTAAAGTCCCCATGAATTCAAAATTGACCATACTTACTTTGTTTGCCTAAATTAATCGTTTTGTGGTGAACAATTCATCCATGCAAGTCAATCCACACAAAACATTTTTTTGGCTTCGTAATCTTTAATCAAAATCTGAAATTTCCCCTCCCCTCTGCATTGGAGGACCTTCCTCTGATGACGTAGGTTTGACGGTTTGGGCGTCTGCTTAACATCCGTAACCACGCCCCTCCAACTGACAGTAGACAGGCTGAATGACAACACCTACTTTTCTAGATCCAATCAGGTGCTAGTTGGGGAAAAAAGCCACGCCCACTATTTTGCCTCATTTAGTATTCCGTTTCTCTCGGAAATACGTCACAACACTGGAGAAAAGTCGTTTGCAACTTCCGGTTCACGGGGACTTTAAATATTTAGGCAGATTTAATTATCTCTAATCTCAGCTCCATTTAACACATTTTAATTGTAATCCAGTCCACGGAAATTTGTCTTTCCACCCCATAATCTGCACAGATTTTGTGTGGACCTACCTGTTGGTTAACAATATATTAACATCATATTAACATCAGTCCAAATGCTTGAATTTGAACAATTTGACTGAAAATGATAATGAATTTGATACTCAAAAACAGGCAGAAAAAAGATTCTTATGCACATATAAGACAATTTTACTGTGTACTTTTGTATCTGTGAGGAAACCTTCCTATTGTTACTGTAATGATAATGAGATGATATTTGCATTTAGGACTTCTGGGTTAAAACTGACCAAAGATGCACTCCACCTGTTCCATTAACCTCCGTTAAGTGGTTCGGAATATAGTTTTGTTGGACTTAACCTTTGATTTTTATTTTCATTTAAACAATACATGTTTAAATGCTTACGTGGCATTAACGGACAGACCAGCCTGACTGTAGGTCTGCTATAGAAAGACTTTCTTGGTGTTAATCAGACTTTAGTAAACAGTTTAATTATCCTAAACTGAATCAAACTATCCTTAAACAGCTACCATATTAAATAGAAGATTATATTATTCAAATAATCCGAACACCGTTTACAACGTTTCCGAGATGTAAAGTGATCTATTTTGGCACTGTGTTTCTGATGAAATCTGTCTTTGCAGAGAAGTGCAGGTACTTTGATGTAAAAGTTGTCATGCTGGGTTGTGACAGTTCTTGTGCACATTTTCTATGAAGGATGTTATTATGCAAGCCTGTAACGTTAGAGAGTTGAGTCACTTACACTGATGTAAGTACAGCTAAAAGAAATCAAAATGTGCCTTGCAACAGAACAAACAGGTGATGTTTAATGAAGGAAGCATTTAATCACACCGTCGCTGTGCTTTGATGGATCTTCGAAGCCATCTACAACTTTCTGTTTCTGAAGACAATTAATGGTGCAGAACCCTTTTGAACTGTTTTATCTATAGTGTGGTAACCTGTAACACTCCTTATGTAAAGTACTGTACATTGTAGCTGTTTGGATTAGTGGTTATTGGTGACTCGATTTTTTTTTTAATGCTGATTAATAAATCTAAAAGACTAACAAAAGTCAAATGTCAATTGTTTATTGCTATGTTCAGAACATTCAGAGTAAAATCATAATTTATTCTTCTCCCTCCTCGCCTTCTCCGTCGGGAGTGTCGACTCCCACCTCTTCGTAATCTTTCTCGAGAGCGGCTAAATCCTCACGGGCCTCCGCAAACTCGCCCTCCTCCATTCCTTCTCCAACGTACCAGTGCACGAAGGCTCTCTTCGCGTACATAAGATCGAACTTGTGATCCAGACGGGCCCAGGCCTCTGCGATAGCTGTGGTGTTGCTCAACATACAGACTGCTCGTTGAACTTTGGCCAGATCACCTCCTGGAACCACAGTTGGCGGCTGATAGTTGATACCGACCTGATTATAGTAAGAAGAAAAGCAGTTTAAGAAACACATTTTTCCACAGATATAAACATCATGCAAATATATACAATACTGTGTAAAACTTTAGGGTCTGTAAGATTTTTAAAATGTTTTTGAAAGAAGTCTCTTCTGCTCACCAAGGCTGCATCTATTTTAACAGTAAGATGCCGTGAAAACTGTAATATTGTGAAATATTAACTTAATATATTTTAGAATGTAATTTATTATTGAGAATTTTCAGCATCATAATTCCAGTCTTCAGTGTCACATGATCTTTACTGCTGTCTATCATATGTTTATCAGGCAAGTCTAAATTACAGTACGTAATTTCTCAGACTTTCCACAATCCAACAAACCCAGATTGAATGTTGAAAAGCAGCGCTGACCAATGCCAACAGACGCCAACGCCGGGTAACCCACCGATCCAACAAAACCCAATGAAGTCTGTCGGTGCAGTGTGAATTGCCCTTCAAGGACACAGACTGACCTTGAACCCTGTGGGACACCAGTCCACAAACTGAACGGTCCTCTTGGTCTTTATGCTTCCAATGGCGGCATTGACATCCTTTGGAACCACGTCCCCACGGTACAGCATACAGCAAGCCATGTACTTCCCGTGCCGGGGGTCACACTTCACCATCTGATTGGCCGGCTCAAAGCAAGCGTTGGTGATTTCCACGACGGACAGCTGCTCGTGGTATGCCTTCTCGGCGGAGATCACCGGGGCGTACGTGACCAGGGGAAAGTGGATGCGAGGGTACGGCACCAGGTTGGTTTGGAACTCTGTCAGGTCGACGTTGAGAGCTCCGTCGAAGCGCAGGGAGGCAGTGATGGATGACACGATCTGGGCGATGAGACGGTTGAGGTTGGTGTATGTGGGCCGCTCTATGTCCAGGTTACGGCGGCAGATATCATAGATGGCCTCGTTGTCCACCATGAAAGCGCAGTCTGAGTGCTCGAGGGTGGTGTGTGTGGTTAGAATGGAATTGTAGGGCTCTACCACTGCGGTGGAAACCTCAAGAAAAATCACACAGAAAACGGTTTGTTGTATTTGAAATGTTTTTCATAATCAACTACAATTTGACTTTTTCTGTGGAAAAATGGCAAGCTTCTGCGCACAGATTGAGCCTAGTAGCCTGCCATCATTTTTCCTTTTTCAATAATCCATTTCACTCGTATGTAGGTCACAATTTATAAGAAAATATCTGACGGTACTACGGTTTCATTGCGACTTTAAAGTGAAGGGAGCAAAATGTAAAAAATATGGTACCTGAGGCGCAGGGTAAACGGCAAACTCAAGCTTGGCCTTCTTGCCATAGTCAACGGACAACCTCTCCATCAACAATGAAGCAAAACCCGATCCAGTTCCACCGCCAAAGCTGTGGAAGATGAGGAAGCCTTGTAGTCCAGTGCACTGATCGGACTGAAAACAAAGGCACAAACTATTAATTAATCTATAAAAGAAGTATAAGCAGTATTAACTAAACAGAGAAAAATGTCTTACCAGTTTGCGTACGCGGTCAAGTACCAGGTCTACGATTTCCTTGCCAATGGTGTAATGGCCTCTGGCATAATTGTTGGCGGCGTCCTCCTTCCCAGTTATCAGCTGCTCTGGGTGAAACAGCTGTCTGTATGTTCCAGTTCGAACCTCATCTGAATGGGAAAAAAAATTTTTTGACAAAAATATTTTGATTTCTTTCTTCTGCTGAAGACAAAAGAAGGTATTTTAAAGAATATGGGTAATCAAACAGTTGATGTACATTGACTTCCATAGCATAGCATGGAAAAAAATACTATGGAAGTGGGCCCATCAACTGTTTGGTTACCCATATTCTTCGAAAGAAAACAGAGAAAACAGTTTTAGGCCCATTCACACCAAGCACGATAACTATAAAGATAACGATAAAGATAAATAACTATATATGCGTCCACACCATAGACTGTAAAAAAATAGGTCCACACCAACGACTGATAACGGTCTTTTTATTCTAAGCACGCGCGCGCCCGCGCTGCGGTTTCAAAGTAGACCTTTAAATTAGAATGGATTCTGATTGGCTGTCAGTGTTTTATCGTTCGACAGCTGGAAAAAAATCGTTCTGAAAGTGATCCCAAAGATATCGTTCCTCATATCTTTATCGTTATAGTTGTGGTGTGAACTCTGTTATTCTTTAATATGGAGAACGATTTTTAGAATTATATCTTTATCGTTATCTTTATAGTTATCGTGCTTGGTGTGAACGGGCCTTTAGTCTTGAAAACTTGAGGGTGAGTAAGTTAAATGACAGAATTTTCATTTTGGGTGAACTCACCATTTTTAAGTCATCATGCAATCAAAATTCAACGTTTTTAATTGAATAACGGTGTATTTGTTATAAATTAATTCTTCGTGCACATCTGTACTTAAAAATAATAATAATGTGCCCTCGTAATCTTTAATCAAAGTAACTTCAAATTACAAAACACATAAAAATGGTAAAAATAAAAACATCTCCTGACCAACGACAGTTGGTTCGAGGTCCACGAACACGGTTCTGGGAACATGTTTCCCGGCGCCGGTCTCGCAGAAGAAGGTGTTAAAGGATTGATCTCCGCCTGAGGTGGTCTGGTCGCTGGGCATGTGTCCGTCCGGCTGAATGCCGTGCTCGAGACAGTACAGCTCCCAGCAAGCGTTACCGATCTGAACTCCCGCCTGACCCACATGAATGGAGATACACTCGCGCTGAAGAAACAAAAATCAAATTAATTAACTTACAACAACCAACGTCAAAAAGTTTTTCTAACGGTTAGTGCTAGCTAACGGCTTAACTTTTTTCGAATACTGACAAATTTACTCACCATTTTTAAGGAGGTTTAATGTAACGTTAGATGCGAAGGCCTTCGTGTGTAGCCTATATATCTATAGTAGAAATAAAATTGATAATTTAAATTTTAATTTTCTTCTGATTTGGATGCGCAGAAATGTTCTCAGTTCTCGTATGCCGATATTGTTTTTTTAAATTAATTCACAGGGTTTTATATGGCAATGAACTTTGACCCCGCCCACCTTCTCGGTTATTGGATAAATTCTGAAAATAATTATAATATGGATGTCAATCACGTGTTGGAGGATTATTATTGGTCCACACCTCAAATATTTCAATATAAACTTAATATAACGGGAATTTACGTTATGATAAAGCGTTTTAAACCTAAATATGAGCTTAAACGGATTGTGATTTCTGTCTGTTTGTTTTTCTATGTTCTCAGCCTTGCTTCAGTTGCTTGGTCATCAATTCTTTGTTTAGTGAACACAGTCCATTTCTCAAAAGACAATAGCCTACATACTGTTTTTACCAGTACCTGCAGTAGCCCAGCGTTTCTCAAAGTGTGGGGCGCGCCCCACTGGTGGGGAATGGAAACATGACAAGTGGGGCGCGACAAACGGGAGAAAATGTGGTAATTTTTGTGCCCATCTCTATTAATTCCTTTATTTATTGAGCATAAACTCAAAACAAAACAACGACACATTTAAATGGAAGCCTTACTTAACCTTTTTTACACGTAAGTTTAAAAGTTTTTAGAGGCGCCCGTTATTTAGATCATATCCCTTTATGGTTTCCATGGTGACGCGTCATTGCTTGTCACACCGCAGCCACAATAGCGCTGAATGACTGATTATCTGCTTTTATTTCACAAATGTGTTGGCTATAGCAGGAAATATCTGATATTCCGATTGTCAAATATGAGCAAGTGGATGTGTTTTGTTGTTTAAACACCTTAGTTGAGCTATACGCGATGGGCGTTATAGTTTATGCCGGATTTTAGAGGATCGGACCTGTTGGATTTAACAAACGTCAATTTATCCACTTCTCCCGAAATGAAAGTAACGTTAAGTGGCTGGTGAACTGAGAGAAGCATAGAGTAAACTTGAAATTTACTTACACGATGTGTATTTGATATGAATAATACGTGTCGTCTAATTATAATGGAAATAATTATTATTCCCGCTTCCATAGACATAAGTGTGTATTTGACAAACTCTAAATGTATTGCTTTTTAATAACTTATTTATGTGAATGTAAATGTCTGAAACCTAAAATAAACATTATGTGGTTGAAAACACTGAATAGGTTGTGATGTCAAGCGGTGAGCGGCGATTTTCTGGTTCAGAAAATATGTGTAGCCTACTAAAAAACCGGCTCCTTGCAGACATTAAATCACTTAATTTTGAACTTTCAAAGTGCACCATATTTATGAATTTATCTTTAAAACGTACAAACATTTCTTCCGGGGAGCATGCCCCCGGACCCGGGTGCAGAGGTCCACACCACACACAAAATACTGTGGGAAACACAGTAGCTTATTATGATAGTCTTCGAAAAATACAAAATACAATTATTATTATAAAATTTCCTAAAATACGTACATTATTAGGATTTTACCACCTCCGCCTCGTTTTGAGCCAGGAAAAACCCTGAGATTTTTATTATTCTTTTTCAATTTTCTTTGTTCTTTTTGGATGCAGTTTGCGAAGTGACAAAATAAAGCAAAGCACATTTAGTCCACACTTTTATTTTCTCCGTTTCTGAATTTGATGTTATCAGAGGCAAAATACAAACACAATTGCATTATTATTTTTATCTACTGTCATGTTTATGTTTTTAAAATGTCATGTTAATAAAATACATTTTAACTTAAAGCTTAGTTTATTAACATTTTGTTGGGGCGATTGCATGAGGACAGGTGGGGCACGAACCCTTCCCTACCTTCAAAGTGGGGAATGGCAGAAAAAGTTTGAGAAACACTGCTGTAGCCTATTAGAACACGTAAATAAGTGTATTTGATTATCTTTGAGGGAATTACGGTAAATAATTATTCAAAGAAGCAACTTATCATTTTCTGTTTGAAAGCAGTCTGTCTGTTGAATCAACTGCTGGCTATAGTGCATGATTGCAGAGTAATATCAAGGATTTTTTTCTATGGATTGTTTCAGAATGACAATGTATCTTGCATTCATTACCTTAGCGACGTGCGCCTCTCGTGACCGGGTATAAATAACAGGTGCACGAGCTCGAGAACTCAATGCACGAGCGATATTGATGATGACAACATGAGCGGACGAGTAGGAGACCTCAGTCCCAAACAAACCGAGGCTTTAGCACAGGCAAGTAAATGCACAAAATCTATTTGTTTTAACATTTTTATTCCTGAATTTCAAGATATTTTCACTTAGTATTTTGAGTGTCAGTCATAATTTCGTTTAAAACACACCATCTCTTACATGTCAGATTGAATAGCCTATAATATATGATACACTACCGTTCAAAAGGTTGGGGCTAGTAAGATTTCTTTAAAAGAAATTAATAATTGTATGCAGCAATGACGCATTCAATTGGTTGAATTAAAGTGACAGTAAAGACATTTATGTTATTATAAAAGATTTGTGTCAAATAAATGCTGTTCTTTTGAACTTTTCATTCATCAAAGAATCCTGAAAAAAAGGTATCACAGTTTTCATAATAATAAGAAATGTTTCTTGAGCAGAAAATCATCATATTAGACTGATTTCTGAAGGATCATGTGACACTGAAGACTGGAGTAATGATTCTGAAAATTCAGCTTTGATCACAGGAATAAATTACATTTTAAGGTGCATTATTACAACATTATAGTAATATTATGACAATTTTTAATTGCAATGATATTTCGCAATTACTGTTTTCACTGAATCAGTACAGTTTCACCTTTGAACAGTAGTGTTATCATTATATAAAAAATGTATATTGCATACAAAACTAATCTTCAGAGTTAACCCTGCATGTCAAAAAAAAGTTATTATATTTCAATGTCATTTGTTTGGTCAGTTTCGGGAGAAAATAGCAGATGTGTTTGATCAACTGTCCAATCAAACCGACCATTACCTTCTCCGGTGGCTAAGAGGTGAGGACAGATTTATTTTTAATCAAGATATAATAACGCAAACAACATGGATCTCGTAACATTTACTTTTCTGGGAGTTTGATTCAGGTGAACTTTAATATGAATATAGCGGAGACCTGCTTTTAACTAAATGATCTCTGACTGCGTGGTCATATCGGATGACCTTATGACCTCTGTTGATTAACACAATGCCAGATCAACAATAATCTTCAGGAAACACTTGTGATTATATGGAGGACGATATATGCAAGTACTCTTCCATGAAAAAAACACAGGGTTATTTCTAAGATTTATTTAGTTTGTCTTTACCGATTGCTTTATCTTAACCAGTTTTATCTAGAAATCAATATTTTCTGTTGAGATAGAACATCCCAAAACCATCTGCTGACTTTACGTTTTGAGAGGGAGGTTCAAGGTTACATTCTTGTGAATTTATGTCAATATTTATCTCTCTTTACCTGTGATTTTTGAACGTTGCAGAATTATTTGCTCTCTTTACATACATTATTGTATAATATTCTACAGTCCTCATCTAGGAAAAAGCTATATGTACTGTCTCTCTCTCTCTCTCTCTCTCATCTCTCTCTCTCTCTCTCTCTCTCTCTCTCTCTCTCTCTATCTCTCTCTTCTCTCTCTCTCTCTCTCTCTCTCTCTCTCTCTTCTCTCTCTCTCTCTCTCTCTCTCTCTCTCTCTCTCTCTCTCTCTCTCTCTCTCTCTCTCTCTCTCTCTCCTCTCTCTCTCTCTTGCATTTTCTTACAAAGTAAATAACAAAGAATCAAGATTGTAGAATAATGCAGCATACATAGATTTTAAAGTTTGGTCTTATATCTTGTTTGCAGCTAGAAGCTTCAATGTCCCAAAGGCTGAGGCAATGCTTAGAAAGGTAATAACACAAACACCTGGGTCTGTATTACAGAAACATCTTAACTCATAACCTGTCTGTTTGGATATACAGTATAAATCTTTTGTGACATTATACAGTAAATATATTTTATTGACACTTTTGGCCAATTTAATGTATCCTGCTAAATAAATTTAGGCCTATTAATTTCTTTTAAACAATCCTGCTGACCCCAAACGTTTCAATGATATATAATACGGTAAGTAAAATTACCGTTCTGTTCTTTTCAACATTTAAAATAATAATAAAAAATGCAGCAAATCAGGATGAAGGATCATGTGACACTGCTGCTAAAAATCAGCTTTGTCCTCACAGGAATAAATGAAACTTGAAAATATATTTTTTTAAAAGAAAGCAGTTATAATATCACTTAGGAAATAGTGATAATTCACATAAACAATGGTTACCGACATTCTTCAAAATATCTTCTTTTCAGCAGAAGAAAAAATTTAGTCTCACTTTAGATTAAATTCTCACTATTAACTACAACTTTTGCCTCAATAAACTCCTTATTACTGCTTATTAATAGTTAATAAGGTAGTTGTAAGGTTTAGGTATTGGGTGGGTTAAGGGATGTAGAATATGTTCATGCAGAATAATGCATTAATATGTGCTTTAAGAGTACTAATAAACAGCCAATATCCTAGTAATATGCATGCTGATAAGCAACTAGTTGATAGTGAGAATTGGACCCTAAACTAAAGTGTTACCAGAAATTCATACAGGTTTGGAAGAACTTGAGGATGAGTAAACGATGACAAAATGTTCATTTAAACAGCCCCTGGAGGCCACTTTGAAAAAAACATTAGAGGAACCAAATTAAACCCCAGAATTATATAAAGTTTTTCTCATTTGGCTTACACAAATCACTTTGTATTCCAGCATCTGGAGTTTCGCAAGCATATGAAAGTAGACATGATCATTGACGACTGGAGGCCACCTGAGGTATATCAGTACAGTACAGCTAAAATACGGTATTTACCATAAGTTCAGAATGAAAAGTGCCCTGCTTAACACACATATATTGTTCTCTGTCCAGGTCATCGAGCGCTATGTGGCAGGTGGAATGTGTGGCTATGATCGTGAAGGAAGTCCAATCTGGTACGATATCATCGGCCCTCTTGATCCGAAGGGCCTCTTACTGTCGGCTAGCAAACAAGACTGCCTTAGAACCAAAGTCAGGGATGCTGAACTTCTACGACAAGAGTGTGAGAAGCAGTCTAAAAAGGTACCATCAGTCAAATAAAGACCAAATGACTAAGAATTAAGAATACATGCCAAACTGGTGAAAAAAAAGTTCAAATATCTAAACATTCTTAAATCAAGATACACTTACTTGAGAACCAAAATGATTTATTTTATGAAAAATGTATCACAATTAAGTGTGTTTATGCTTAAAACAAAATATCTGTCAATGGTCAACATCTTGGATCATTTCTGTTAGAGAGATAGTTCACCCAAAAATTACATTTTTGTCATCATTTACTCACTCACAAGTTGTTCCAAACCTGTATGAGTTTCTCTCTTCTGTTGAACACAAAACTTACTTACTTATGCCTGCTACCCCTCCTGGGGCATAGGCCGCCAACAAGAGCTCTCCAGGCATCCCTGTCTTGGGCTTTTCTCTCCAGCTGGCTCCAGGTGTATCCAAGTTCTTTGGTATCAGCTGCCAGATCTCGACGCCACATATTTCTTGGCCTTCCTCTTTTCCTTTTGCCTTGGGGATTCCAAGTGAGCGCTTGCCTGGTGATGTTGTGGCCAATCCATCTCCAGCGTCGTTTCAGGATCTCATCTTCTGAACACAAAATAAGATACTTTGAAGAATGTTGGTAACCAGACAGTTTGCAGCACCCAATGACTTCCATAGTATTTTTTTTCCCTAACACAAAACCATACGAGTGATGGTGAGGGCCAGATGGTGCATTCGCAGAATTCACAGCTAGATGCCGTCCACACTGATTCATCTCTCACTGTTCTTTTGAGATGGTACATGAAATCCACGGGGAGGAGTCGGATCCAGATCCAACTCCTCCCACCTTACATATACCTAAACCTACCCATCTCCGCCCCCTGATCCCTAAACCCACCCCTAATCCCTAAACCCACCCCTAATCCTACCCATCTCCACCCCTTGGATCTTGATCCGACTCCTCCCCGTGGATCTCATGTACTGCATTGAGGTGCTACTGGTTCTTTTGGCTATCCTGGGATGTTATTATACAAAGGAGTCTCCGTTGTGTGAGAAATGTAAATAAATGCAACAAGACTCCATAGGAATCCCAAGAGCCCAAGAATGATTGCACAGACACAGTAACCAGAAGCAATGTTAACAAAATTTAACTAAAAAGACATTTAGTAACCTAGTTGCCTAAAAAATGTAAGTTCATCAAAATAAAAAAATATAAGTTAATACAATGGAGGAAATTGGAAACTCAAAATATTACGTTATTTGAACCACATAAAAATGTTGTGATAAATCATCAAAATAGTTTTTTACAGTGAGGTCAGAAAAATAAACTTAATAAAATATTATTATTTTTCGGACCTAATTGGAAGATTTTTTTTCTTGTTTTAAGCATAAACTCGTTTAATTTTAATAGTTTTTTGCAGAAAGCAAGACTCTGTATCTGTCATTTTGCTTCTCTGGCAAATCTATCTTGATTTAAGAATGTTTAGATATTTGTACTGAAAAAGAAAACAAAAATTTCTTTCTTTTTTTTTTTGCTGTGCAAAAACTGACATTAATTTTGAATGTCAGATATTTTATTATCTGAACCTTCACATTAATTTGCTGCAGTGTTGATGTTTGTAATTGTTTACTGTTGTTTTTGGGTGATTTTTTTCATCAGCTTGACAAACACATTGACTCAATCACCATCATTTATGACTGTGAAGGGCTTGGCATGAAACATCTCTGGAAGCCAGCTGTTGAGTTGTACGGTGAGGTAGGAACATGATGCTTTCAGTAGAGCTCGGTCACTTTGAAGCCCAATGATAAGACACAAACGTATAACATTTCTATATATAATTTTTTATCACTGTGGTTTTGTTCGGAAACATAAAGTGCATCTCAATTTGCGTACTTATGCACTATTCTATGCCGTTTGTGCAAGTAGTGTGTTAACACTGAAAAATGGATGATGCACTTATTTAACAGAAAAGATGCTGGACTCTTCATGCACTCAACTGTCGCAGCGTTAAAGGGATAGTTCACCCAAAAATGTAAAAATCTGTCATCATTTACTCACCCTCAAAGGGGTCATATAATGGTACATGCACTTTTACAAGTTGATTGTACTGAAATGTGTGTTGGCAGTGCCTGTACACAACCATCATATAATGATAAAAAATCCATCCAGTGTTTTTGTTAAACAGAAGCCCTCAGAAGCCCCTCCCACGATTGTTGATTGACAGCAGCGTTTCAACACAGACCCGCCCTGAGCGAGCTGTCATCATAGTCCGCCATTGTTGATACGCTGGAGCAGAATGGCATCTAAGCGATTGTGGTGTTCTGTTCTTGGGTGTAATAGCGAACACAGTCATTTTGATGTTCCTAAACCCGAACCGCTGAAGACGCAGTGGCTGAGTTTTGTTTTCAAAGGGAATATTCCCCACGAGCAACGTCAATGCATTCATGTTTGCGCGAATCTTTTCTTACTAGACTGCTTTATAAACGAGGATCAGTATAAAGCTGGTTTTGCTCCTGAAAAAAGAATCGGTGGCAACTATTTATGTTCCCTCTGCATCTCCAGAAGAAGTAAGTGTAAAGTTTTATTAACCTTTATATTAATCTTTGCAAATCGCGAAAAAAAGTTTTTCATGACCATTAGTTGTAACGTCAATCTGTCAATGAACAGTAAACATATAGCGTTCGTACCTCACTTCTCTACCGTTACCCTGCCAGTACATACAAAAATAGATCAAAGTTACATTACGTTAAACAACCATTCAGAAACGTCCTGTTCGAGCCTTAATTGTCTTAACTTCTTTGTGGCCGTCATCTTGTTTCGGGTCCGACTCCGGTTCAAACTGATACGATTGCACAGATGTGTCCTCAGAGACTCCCGCTGCCATTCTCTCTCCAAAATATACCCTCAACTGTTGTCAAGGCAACACTCCACGTGCGTTGTATCAAAACGCCAGCAGAACAGAGGAGTAGGAGGTCTCTGCGGAACAAAAGTGGGTATTTCTAAATTTGCGGGTGTTTTCACACTGGTGGGTGTTTATAAATCATGCAATGAAAATGATGCCCTTCTCCCGACCCCACCCCTAAGACCTACCCACACTGTGACGTGGGCAAATCAGAAATGGCGTGCTGAAAACAGAGCTGTTTTTGACCAGGTAAAATTTGTGTTTTCTTAAAATACTAATGAGAAGTTTTAATAAAAGTATATTACAAAGTTTTCATTTAGACCCTAAACATTCATATTAACTTGTACAAAAATGGCCTTATATGACCCCTTTAAGTTGTTCATAAACATGTATGAGTTACTTTCTTCTGTTGGTAATCAGACAGTTGACGGTAGCCATTGACTTCCATATTAGGAAAAATAATACTACGGAAGTCAATGGCTACCGTCAACTGTCTGGTTACAAACATACTTTAAAATATCTTCTTTTGTGTTCAACAGAAGAAAGAAACTCATACAGGTTTATGAACAACTTGAGGGTGAGGAAATGATGACCGAATTTTTGGGTGAACTATCCCTTTAAGTATAGCAGAGGGGGAGGGGCGATCAGACTCTGATGTTGAATGACAAAATAACATAGGCTATATATACAATTCATACACTGCATGGTTGAGTACATAGTGCATATTATGCGTCATTTGGGAAACTAAAGAGCTTTGGTGTGTGTGCACTTGAATCCATCTCGTGTTATTTACTTGTCTAATAAAGTGGCAAAAAGGCAAAATAAATTAATCAGAAATTATTATTTTAATAATTTGTTACACATGCCTCCCAGTGTCATTGTGACAAATTAAGTAATGCATCTTCCCTTACTAAGATCCAAAATCTGCGGGAATTAGTAAAATTATACGCAATCCCATGCCAGAATTGAAGCCCTGTAACACCAACAATATTCATCCAGAGCAAATGAATCGATTGAGTGAGGAGAGGCGGGTTTGTGTGTCTCTCGCTGTCGGAGAGATAAGAGAGAGAAAAGGCGCAGATGGTATTGTGTATCTATTCTGTGGAAAATGAGTATGGGAAGCATTTTAGATGTTAATAATCTGTTTCCACCCTTGTCAAGCTAAAATGATAATATTGTGAAACCGGTATATTATTTTTGCCTTTTCTTGCTATGTCTTCATTGCAGATTCTGACTATGCATGAAGAGAATTATCCCGAGAGCCTAAAAAAGGTGCTTTTAATCAAAGGTGAGTCATTGTTGCACCAGTAAAATCACATCACTGATGCTGTTAAACAGTTTTTAAATATTTGAATGCTTTAATTCTCCTTTCTACAGCCCCCAAACTCTTCCCTATTGCATACAACTTGGTCAAACACTTCTTGCGTGAGGAAACAAGGCAGAAGATTGCTGTGCTGGGTTGTAAGCTGTCTAACTACTGTTTGTTAAGGCAAACATGATTATGATTAACTGCGATGTGTTACTGATCCTGCATGAATGACACCTCACGAATGGGAATTTCTCTTTTGATCTCCACTTTCCAGCCAACTGGAAAGAGGTGTTGAGGAACTATGTGGATGCAGATCAGTTACCTGTGGTTTATGGAGGCTCCATGACTGATCCTGATGGAAACCCTCTCTGTAAGACCATGGTGAGATTTATAGCCAACAGGAGATTCACGTACACTACCGTTTTAAAATAAATCAATACTTTCATTCATGCATTCAATTGCCCAAAAGTAACAGTAAATATTGTTACAAAATATTTCTATTTCAAACAAATGCTGGTCTTTTTCAACATTGTTAATCATTAGAAATTTTTCTGAATGATTTTCTAATAATAGGGATCATGTGACACAATGGAGTGATCGTGATGATACTGAAATTCAGCTTCGTATCACAGGAATAAATTAAGTTTTTTAAATATATTCAAATAGCAAACAGTTATTTAAAATCGTAATAATATTTCACAATATTACTGTTTTTGCTATATTTTTGATCAAATAAACGCAGCCTTGGTGAGCATTAGAGACTTTTTTAGAAACATTAAAAATCTTACTGACCTCAAACATTTGAATGGTACTGTACACCGATATTTAGTTGTCTTTACCCATTTGACTCTTCCTCCCAGTTACATTATGGTGGTGTAGTGCCAAAGTCCTACTATGTACGAGACTCTGTCAAAGTGCAGTATGACCAGTGCGTCACCATTAGCCGTGGCTCTTCATACCAGCTAGATTATGAGGTGCTCTTTCCAAACTGCTTGCTACGGTAAGTACCATGTTTCAGTGCTAATAGTTATGCATAGCTGTTGTGCACAATATACTCTTAGGGCTGGTTCACACAAAATGTGTTTTTGTTTTGAAAAACGCCAGACGCGGGCAGAGGAATGGGGAAAAAACGCAAGGTCTCGAGACACGTCTTTTAAAAGTTGAACTTATTTTCTGAACTATTTTGTGTTTACATAGAAAAATACTGGAAAGTAGCGCAGTGGAATGGAAAATGCGTTCCGTGTTAACGCCCCCTTAAAAAATAAAGGCTATTGTTCCTCTATTGTTCCTCAACGAACCTTTAAAGGTGCACTATGTAACTTTTTTGTTAAATTAGTCAATACATCATCAATCCCTCTTCCAAAACGTGTTTTGTCTTGCCCTGATTCGGTAAGCCTAGTTATAAGTTTTTATATTTTAGACCTGACAGGATGGTTTTCGCGGGTAATTGTGTCTCTAATTCGTCTCGTCATATCTGAAAAATAGACTGGCTACTCTGACGCGTGTGTGAGTTGGTTAGACACAACGAGCGAGAAAGGTTGAAGTGGAGCAGCTAAATCTCAAACCTCCGAGGAATCACCCGTTTTAAGAAAAACAGAAGAGACGAGTCTGCTTACCAGCCACTGTGGCTAGTGGTTTTCCAAAGTTACTAGCCACTCAGTATTTTCACTGGCCACAATTTTGACATTGATACCATGGGGAAAAACGACCATAGATATTTTTTTATATCATCTCATAATTTGGCAGCAGGAATATTAGGCTGCTGTCACTTTAAAACCTGATGCACGGATCCATTATACTGTTACACATGCGTTTTCTTTCTCAACTGTTTACGTTCACTTAAAACATAACTGACTGTGTTTACGTGAATACTCACCAAGACCTGCATTTTGGCATTATTTTGTGTATTTGACTGTTTAAGTGCAATAATCAGTGTAAAAAAAAAACAGTTTACTACTGAGAGGCGGCTTTATGTAAGCGCACTTTGGGTGTGAGCACAAAATCTGTGGGAATAAGTAAAATTATACGCAATCCCATGCCGAGATTGAAGCCCTGTAACACCAACAATATTCATCCAGAGTAAATGAATCGATTGAGTGAGGAGAGGCGGGTTTGTGTGTCTCTCGGTGTCGGAGAGATAAGAGAGAGAAAAGGCGCAGATGGTATTGTGTATCTATTCTGTGGAAAATGAGTATGGGAAGCATTTTAGATATTTCAGTATCGATATGTATCGAAAAATCGATATTTTTGGCAACACTTAATTTATTATTTCAGATTCCTTTTTAAAAGACTACAATTGAAAAATGTATGTATTATATATTAAATTCAACCTGCCAAAGTGGCTAGTAGGAGTGACTGCGTTACACGCCACTGCTGAAATACACACACGGGTTGGCGGGTGTTAATGTCAAGCCCTGGTCATATTCATCCGCACAATCATGCAGAGGCGAAGCACAACGTTCTTCCGCAAAATGCATGCAGTTTTGTTTTTTAACCGCTAGAGGGCCTAAAGTTACATAGTGTACCTTTAACCATAGATATCCATAATAAAGGCTAGATGTCTTACGGCGGAGTCTCGGCGGCCATCTTGTCACGGGCAAGCTTTCTGGCGGGCTCTGTGGTGGTACCTGATGTAAGAGGAGTGATCAGCACAAACACAAATACTCTTATCTCGTTGAAATCTTGATGGATTTACAAACGAATTGGTTTCTTACAAACGTTTTTAACGTGGCTGATTATTTATTGATACACTTATTATTCATAAGTATGCAGTGTCATAACTACATCTCTGACGTTTATAACAAACATGGTACATGCACCATTAAAAGACAATGTTACGAGTGAGCGAGCTGCCTGTGACAAGATGGCCACCAGGTGCGGACGTCGACCTCCATTGGCCAGCAGCGCGGACGAGACATCTAGCCTTTATTATGGATATCTATGCCTTTAACATCCATGGAACCTTTGCATTCCACAAAGGGTTCGTTATAGTGGAAAAGGGTTCTTTAGATTTTTTTAATGTTTTTCACACTAAGAAAAAAATGGTTCTTTTAAGAACTGTTCACTGAAAGGTTCTATAGGGAAACCTAAAATGGTTATTCTATGGCATCGCTGTGAAAACCTCGCTTTGGAATTTGTTTTAAAGGAGCTGTATGTAAGAAATTCATTTAAATTAATCATAAAATGGCCCTGAAATGTCACTAGACATTAAGAAATCATGTTCACTACAAATACTTATATCACTGACAACAGTAGTCTGGCCAGGATATTGTCATTTAAAAAGTGCAGTTGCAGCCCTCAACTGATGTTGATGTTGTCATGTTGTGTTTTGGTCTGATGCTCCACCCTCCACCTATCTACCAATCACGAAGTCAGTAGTGTTGCGGCATCCGGGTTGCCAGCTCTGCTGTAGTTACCACAGCTGCAGCTCGTCACATTCCTGCTGGATCCTGCAGCCTATCTGGCAACCTCGAGTCAGGGAGGAGGGGGAGGGGATACACCACTCTACAGTAATTTGACAGTGATTGCAGTACTAGTTTTGGCCACAATCTTACATACAGCTCCTTTAAGAGTGATAGCATGCAATACACTCCATATATAGAGTTATACTATTCCATTCTTACCATAACCAGTCGTCATCATTGTTTTTTCTCAATCTAGATGGCAGTTTGCAAGCGAAGGGTCTGATATCGGTTTTGGAATTTACCTGAAGACAAAAGGGAATGAGTCAAATAAAGTGGAAGCCATGCAGGAAATACTGCCTACCGAGCGTTACAATGCCCATCTAGTTCCAGAGGATGGATCCTACACCTGTGAAGAACCAGGCATCTGTATGTTTGTTTTGAATTTTACATTTGAGTTCTTTATATTATTCAGAGCAACTGAATGATGATAAAAGCATGAATTTGCCAACAAGTTGAGCTGTCTGCCACAGGTTCATTATTTATGCTTAAAACAATCCTTTTTTTCTCTATAGATGTGGTTCGATTTGACAACACTTACAGTGTGATCCATTCAAAGAAGGTCAGCTTCACCGTGGATGTGCTTCTACCTGAGGGACACACAGGAAAACAGGCATAAAGCCCGACTGGAATCAGATGTATATCCAGAAAATGATAAGACTACATCACTACTACAATGTGTGGATGTCATTGACCACAGGAAATTAGAAGTACTACATTAGGGTTTTTTAATTTCACAGTTTTTAGATAATTTTATAAAATAAGTATTATTATAGATAATTATGAATAGCGATTGCACACGGACAGTCCCTGAAAAGATGTTGCATGAACTTTCCGATATTTGAATTACAATTGTGTATGACAAATGGAAGCAGATATAGACTGATGGGGACTATTTTGGTCAGTATAGAGAACTTCCTTTCTTAATGTGAAATAATTATAATTATGGCCTAATCAGATTATCTCTCAATGAATATGTCACTGAATGGCATCGAATCACAGCAATTATCATAAAATTTAACTCATGTCAACATTAAATACTATTATAGGAAGATTGTAATAATCCTTATAAGATATAGTAATAGCAACCTCTTGTATAATCTTGAGTATATTTTAAATGTGCACATGATTATGCACTAATCTGAGAATAAAACACACGATGTCGATGAGTCTATGTTTATTTTACACTAGAGGTCGCACTTGCATCACATTCTACACAAATTCATCTGGTTGAAGTGATGGTCAATGACACACGTGACACGCATCCACAAACAACAAATCCACATTACGGCAGACCATTGCCTTTGATTAATTTACTTTTTATTACTGTAACGCAAAAACACTATATTATTTAAATTATAGTATTCATATATAATTATATTATTTATTGTAGCTACTTCCCTGCCTGTAAGCGTTTACAGTAACGGACATTGAGGGAAAATGTGCTTATTTGTCATCTAAATATTGCAAAAAGTATCTTCTTTATTTAATTTTTTTTATACCAATTGATTTTGTGATTAAATACGTCACTGTGTGTGGTGAAGAGGACACTAGGCTCGTGATAAGACAACACTGTGGCATATATATATAGTGTAGAATTTTTTATTGGAAACCTGTTACATTCTTACATTTATTTATACTTAATACTACAATTTATTATATAAAAATAACATTACCTCATTGTGCCACAATACGTTTATTAGTCCAAACGTGATGTATTTTTAATTAAGAACGCGCGCGCATATTTTTTTACCATTTCATTCAACGGTCCACATAAGTTTTCCACTTTATTGAAAGTGGGCGTTGCGCAATTGTGCACTATGCAAATGAGGGGGCGCGGTCCGCGTGTGGGAGCGATGACGTGACGTAAGGTCCAGCCTTGCGGAGAGAGCGCAACAAACATGGCGACAGAGCGGAGCGGACAGGGGTGTCTTCTAACTTTCATCGTGTTCCTCTGGAGCTCTGTCGGTGGGCGAACGGAGACCTCGAGCCAGAGTTCCCGGAGTCAGATCCTGGGCATGCGGCTGGAGAGGAGCGATAAAGCGGCCAGCACTACGGAGGACGGGCTCATCCAGGTAACGGAGGAGAGCAGCGTCGTGCTCCGGTTTTATGGTGTCCACCTGAGCCCGGGCGCAGCATCCAACATCAGGTTTACGGAGAATGTGGATACAGGGGGTAGTGACGCGTTGAACAGGACTTGTGAGGATTTCACCAAAGACATGAGCATCGGCAACTACATGAACGTGAGCAGCAGGGGTACATCAGGTCTGGTGAGTGTGTATGTAAAGCCGATGCGTAAAAGTGAACGAGAGAAGACCTACAGCCTATGTGTCAGACAGGATTTGGGAGATAAATGGGTCCATTTGCCTGATAATGATGGTAGATTGGTAGTCGTAGAGGAGAAAGGATCTCTTCTACCTCTTTGGTTCCAAGTCATCCTGGTGTCAAGCTTGCTGGCGTTGTCCGGCATGTTCAGTGGACTCAACCTGGGGCTCATGGCGTTGGATCCAATGGAGCTTCGCATTGTGCAAAGTTGTGGCACTAATAAGGAGAAGAAGTATGCACGCAAAATCGAACCCATTCGAAGCAAGGGCAACTATCTGCTTTGCTCTTTATTGTTGGGTAATGTGCTGGTCAACACAACCTTGACGATCCTACTAGATGATTTGATCGGGTCAGGGTTGGGAGCCGTGGCGGCATCCACAGTTGGCATTGTCATATTTGGTGAAATCGTGCCACAAGCGCTCTGCTCGCGCCACGGTTTGGCCGTAGGCGCCAACACCATCGTGCTGACCAAATTCTTCATGCTACTGACCTTCCCGTTGTCATTCCCCATCAGTAAGCTTTTGGATGTCATCCTCGGGCAGGAAATCGGCACCGTCTACAACCGAGAGAAGTTGGTGGGGATGCTGAAGGTCACAGAGCCTTACAACGACCTGGTCAGAGAAGAGCTGAACATCATACAAGGTGCTCTCGAACTCCGAACCAAGACGGTGGAGGATGTGATGACGCCGCTGGGCAACTGCTTCATGATTCACATTGACGCCGTGCTCGACTTCAGCACCATGTCTGAAATCATGGAAAGCGGCTACACGCGGATACCTGTGTTCGACAGTGAGCGCTCCAACATCGTGGACATCCTGTACGTCAAGGACCTGGCCTTTGTTGACCCGGATGATTGCACAACGCTTAAAACGGTCACCAAGTTCTACAACCGCCCGGTGCATTTTGTCTTCCACGACACTAAGTTGGATGCCATGTTGGAGGAGTTTAAAAAAGGTTAGTGATTTGTGTTTTGTGTGTTCTCCTAAGTCTTGAAAGTTTGCACAGGATGTGCTGTGCTCACAGGAAGCAAAGGGTTTCTCTCCATGGAGTTGTTTTCACCCTCCTATTGATTATGATGTGTCCCCCTGAGAGCCAAATCAATAACCATATGCTCCCTGTATCAGCCTCCGATCAATATGAAGCTCTTCTAGAAATGGCGGAGGAATCCCATGCTGCCAAAAGCACCTGTCACTCATTAAAAATGCACATCATCATCATCCGGTCCACCAGAGTTTGCAGACTCACTCTAATGTTTTGCCACATTTACCTTCAGATTGAGGGCTGTAACCACCATAGACATTTTTACAGACACATATTCCCGTTAATATTCAGATTATTCTTTACAGTGGTATTGGTAACAACACTTTACAATGAGGTTTTATTTGTTAACATAGTTCGTTACATTAGTTAAACTAACAATGAACTACAATTCTAATTTTTGCAATGATTCATTTAACTTTATTGGCTTTAATCATGACAATGGTGCTGGTATTGTTTTAAACAAGCTGTTGAAGCCAATTTTAAAGTGCATGTGTGTAAAACACAAATTTGCCTCATGCTAGTTTAAAGATGAGTTTTGTGGGCGGTGTTTTGGAATGATTGGCAGTTGCAAGCCCCTCCCACATTATTTTACTCATAGCAATCACTGCAGAGGTGCCACAGAGGGACCAAACCCATGTGACACGCACGGTTTTGTCCAAAGCGTCTGCTTAGGACAGTGCTTTTGCTACATTTGATGAGAATTTTCGTAGAAATTCTCTGCACCCTATTCAAATATGTTTTTACAGTTTGTTTAAAATGAGCTCCACTGTGCTATGAATGTATGTAAATAAGCTTATGAGTATGCAAATAAGTAAATGTGTGTGATTTGCTAAATGCCGATCCCTCAGGAGCATTGGAGTATATCTCAGTGTGAGAATATTAGATCTTCTCTTAAACGCTCTGCTTGTCTAAAGCTTTCCGTATTATAATATTAGGCTTGATCATGTACTTTAAAATTCCTCTGAGGAAAACAGATTTCAGAAAAAAGTCGGCATATTTTCTTTCATTTCCTCTATTTAGGATAACTTTTTACTGATGTATGATAATAGCCATTATTTAAAAAATAAAGTGTTGCGGACTGTAGATCGGTCTTAGGGTTAGTCATTTGAACAAAATCCTCAATATTAAGCTTTGTGCATAATTTGTGGTGGCATTTTTGGATTCTTTTTGGATACTTGTATTTTAATTACAGCTCGAATTTAGTTTGGGGAAAAAAAACAGCCATTAATAATAATTGGTTGTCAGTATTGGCCAGAATTTCTATATTGGTGCATCCATGTTACATTTTGATTCAGATTTGAGCATTCAGTATTACACAGATTTCATGTTTTAACAGTAATGTTGATTGTGCTGTGTTTTGCATATTTCCCTCTTAACTTTTAATGCTGTCAAAGTGTCTTCTGGTCCTGTCGCTTTCTTTTTCTAATCCCCAGACATCTCCGTCATTTCCCCCTCTTAAGCTCTTTTGGCTCTAAGTTTAGTGGGAATTCTGATCTGACTCTCTTTTGGAACATGAAGCGCAAATGGTCCAGTATTGCTTAAATGGTTATGATTGATCCGGCCCCTCAGATAAAATATGATGAATCATTCATAGGGTTTTCAGATTCTATAGTGATAATATGGCTCATTAATATGCATGTCCATTCAGTGCTTCAATATGGAATATGGTTTGAATTATTTTACACTCACTCAGTGGGTTTCCTGGCCTGGTGTGAACTAAATCTGTTAAAGGGACAGTTCACCCAAAAATAAAAATTCATAATTTCCTCACCCTCAAGTTGTTCCAAACTTGTATGAATTTATTTCTTCTGTTGAACTCAAAAAGAAGATATTTTAAAGAATGTTTGTAACCAGACAGTTGACGGTAGCCATTGACTTCCATATTAGGAAACACATTCGATGGAAGTCAATGGCTACCGTCAACTGTTTGTTTTGGAACAACTTGAGGGTGAGTGAATGATGACAAAATTTTTTAGTTTTAAGGGTTAATTAATAGGCTTGATGCCGAGCGTCACGTGACCAAACCGGAAAACGGGTCTCATTGCATCCGCTTGTCAGAGAAAGTGTTAACGGCCGTAAGAACTAACTACGATATCTATGGATTTTTAAGATAATCAGCTAACCTACTAAGTTCACTTTGTTATTGGTGTTTTATGCTATTTAAATATCTAAACGTTAGTGTGAGAAATAAAAAAAAATAAAAAAAAACTTTTAAATATCAATCTGCACATGCGAGGGACATTGGTTATGCTCATTTTTGCTTGCTTCTTTTAAGTTATCTTGAGTAAACCCGCAAAAAAATTTCATGAAGCACACACAAAAGACCTGAATCGGAAGCGATGTGATCTGTTTTCCGGCTTGGTCACGTGACGCTCGGCATAAAGCCTATTAACTATTAAACAGCCATTCTGATTGGAATTAGAATACTAAGTGCATTTAATTTAGTTTTCTAGTTATTTTTGGGCTTGGGTGTTTTTGTCCACAGGTAAATCCCACCTGGCCATCGTTCAGAAGGTGAATAGTGAGGGCGAAGGAGATCCGTTCTACGAGGTTCTGGGGCTGGTCACGCTGGAGGACGTTATTGAGGAGATCATCAAATCTGAGATCCTGGACGAGTCTGATCTCTACAGTATGTTCAAGATAGTGATTTGTTTTCTCAATTTTCATGTTTCATGAGAGTTTTAAAACCCTCTGATGCTTTTCGGTCACTTTTGACTGAACATTTGACTTCATAAGAATGGTAGGACACTTGCTATGTTAACACAAGGGGAAAAAAAATCGTCCTAAAAATAGTCACACTTGTACTTCTAGCGGAAAAAAATAACCAACATAGAAATTAATAGGAAATAAAAAAACATTTAAAATGACAAAAATCTACAAATCAGTCACGATACAGAATAAAGCACACAGCAATAAAGGGGTTGCTTTAAAAATAATTGTGCAAAAATGTATGCATTGTATTGTGTTGTACAAATTGTGGAAACAAATTGATCATAATTATTGCATAAATATTACTTAGTACCATAAAATTCCCTCAAATACAAAATATTATTGAACAAAAATATACTACATAGATGTTACTGAAAAAGAAAGTTCGGTCACTTTTGACCGGGAGGAGTGTGAGTGTGAGGAGCAACATAGGGTTAAATCTAATACATCTAAATCTAATTGATTTTATTAATTGGTTGAATTATTAATTTATTGATCTGGGCTGTGTTTTCCAAAAGCATCGTAAGCCTAAGTAGATCACAGAGACGATTGGTGCCAATGGCTTCTATGATCAACTTAGGCCAGGGGTAGGCAAGTTCGGTCCTAGAGAGCCGCTGTCCTCCAGAATTTAGTTCCAACCCTAATCAAACACACCTGAACAAGCTAATCAATGTCTTCAGGATTACTAAGGCTAATAGGCAGGAGAGGTTTTTTTCAGTGTTGGAGCCAAACTCTGCAGGACAGCGGCTCTCTAGGACCGAACTTACCTACCCCTGACTTAGGCGTAAGATGAGTGATTGGTTGAGTGATTAATGATTTCTTTTTTTTTTTGTCTGCTAGCTGACAATCGTAACAAAAAGAAAGTGGATCCCAACAAGAACAAGAGGGACTTTTCTGCCTTCAAACATGAGAGCGAATCTAAAGTCAAGATATCCCCGCAACTAATGCTAGCAGCGCATCGTTTCCTCGCTACTGGTGAGCTGTTGTGTCTATAAGACACTTATTCTCTTCTCACTCTGAGCTTTTGCTTTTTGCAAATAACCGGCAATTTTGGTTGAACCTTCTTTCCATAGAGGTGAGCATTTTCAGTCCACTCCAGATCAAAGACAAGGTCTTACTGCGAATCCTCAGGCATCCGGATGTCATTCAGGAGATCAAGTTCAACGAGAGCGACAAGCGCTCGCTTCTGCACCATTTATATCAACGTGGAAAACCTGTCGACTTCTTCATCCTCATCCTTCAGGCAAGTGAAACTGATCGGTAGGCCTGCAATGACAGTTCAGCAGAAAGCTCTGTAGACTTGATGCCCACTAATATCTACACTGCGTATGTGTTTATTCAATATTTAGGTTAGTTTAAAGAAGTGCCTTTAAATCAAAACAGAAAGTGTGCTACTTCCTTCAACCAGTCTCCTATTAGTGAGGCTTGCTCAGGCAAATATCATACTATTGCTTAAAGGCCAACTGAATTGCCTTGAAACGTGCAACGTTATTCATTTCTATTCAAGACAAACACTCCCTCATAGATTATTAATCCTAGTGTTTTATTGCATTAGAGTTTGTTTTGAGAGATGGTTTGGTTTGTTGGATGGTTTGAGAGAGGGAGAAAAGGTCGGAGAAGTCGCCTGTTCCCCGTGGCTGGTACCATGTGATTCACCCGATTGCATCCCATGTAATTCATCACCATTTGACCTTGTGGAGTCCCCATGACATTCCTCCAGGGACGTCAGCTGTACAACCATCCACAAATATCTCTCTCTGCCTGTCAGAATTCTTTGTACCTACAGGATTAGATGTATCCCAAAATAGACTGGATTTTTCTGAGGAAAATCTGAGTGATGCTTGCTTGCCTGTGCAAAACTTACTGCCATGATGCTGGGATGTTGTGACCAGGGCATTGCTATGTGTTGCTAGGGTGGTTGCATAGGCATATAGAACAAGTCTAGCTACCTAGAGCGGGCTATCTTCTAGATGTTTTTAAAGGCATTGCTATGTGGTTGCTAAGGTGTTGCTAGTGGCTGAGAACTAGCCCTGGCAACAACCCAGAAGGCTCTAGCAACCACACTGCAATGCACTGGCAACAGACCAGAACATAGCAACCCCGTAAAACTGCTCTAGCTGGTTTGCCATTGCATTGCTGTGTGTTGCTTTTTTTAGATGGTTGCCAGGGTATTGCTATGTAGTTGCTAAGGTGTTTTAGGTGGTTTCCATGGTGTTATGCAGTTGCTAAGGTGTATTTGTTTGATGTTTGCTAAGGTGATGTAGGTGGTTTCCAGGGCATTGCTATGCTGTTACTAGGGAGCTCTGGGTGGTTGCTAGGTGGTTTTTACTTTCCATTTTAAAAGAGTGCACTCTACTGTAGAGCTGCAGGATTCTGGATAAATTGAGAATCAAATTTTTTTGGTTTAAAATTGAGATCACGGTTCTCCCACAATTTTGAATAGACAGCTAAACAAAATAAAATAAAAATGTAAACTATAAAACTTAAAGCTGCAGTCCTAGGCTTTTTTTGGGTTAAAAATTATCCAAAATACATATTTGAGAAAATACATAACCAGCCAGTGTTCAACGCTATCTGCTTGCCGTAGCTCGATTCAAAGCGGTGAGCTTGTAATAATGTTTTTAATTCCAGTGGTACTGGTGGATTTCCGCGGGAGATTCGAGCATGTCTTTGAGTCATTACGTCACATCTGTACACACACATCTGTACACACACATCTGTTCACATAAAGAAGGAGTCTCGGCTAGTAGGCTATATTGCGTGTGAGGATGTTGGAGGTGGAGATTTATAGCCTTTTCTCACAGCACTTGATATAATTAAACTTATTAATTTGATGGCGGATCCAGAAAGGTTCAAACGACGATCACCAGTGACAACAGACTCTCACCCGTTGTAAAATGCAAGACTTTGTTCGGACTTCGGAGTGGCTACAGAAAAAAAGAGACTGCAACCGGACACATGCGAAAACAAGGATAATATCGGAAGGACAATACATGTAGTCACGCAATGCTGACGTTGTTAACATTAACAATTTGAGAACAAAAGTATAATTTGCACGGTTTTGCGTGATATAAGCGAATGTTAGATTTAATCAGCGTGTTTTACTGGAATGTCAGAACCAGAACAAAAGTGGATGTTACTTACTTGTTCAGATGACATTTTCCGGTGAAAGTTATGATGTTGGTCATACTGAATGCCAGTATCCACACCGGCGCTGTGACTGACAGCTGGACACTCTCCTCAAACATTGTGTTCATCCGCGCTGTGCCGTGTCGAGGTACAACTCACGTAAAGTTGATAATTCCGTGAATGACTGCAATTGCAGATTTCGAACAGAGATGGCGACAAAGAGGAAAAAGTGTGGACTGCAGCTTTAATTAATTTGAATTATAAAAAATAAAAAAAATAAAAAAACGTTTGAGTGAATGATTCAATAACTCGCTCGTAATGAAGGATGAAGTAATTACTTCACGGCCGCTAAAAAAGTATGTTCTATATAGTATGAGTGTGTGTAGTATAAATGTAATCTGGACATACTACATCAGCCATGCTGTCATTGTCACGTGTACTGGTGTAACGATGCAATTGATACAATCGTTATTTGAAGCATGAAGTTATGTGCAACTCTATTTTGATCCCTACCATAGACATCAGTGTTTATATCCAAACTATTATATCTCAGTACTTCTGTGATATTTTGAATTATTATAAAACAGAAATAATGATACTATGTGGTTGAAAAGAATGAGTGAAGCTGTTTAATACCTATACATGCCAACTGCTCACTCTGTATCAGCGGCAGCGCCAACACACTGAATGTTCGCCGTGATCGTACTTGTCAAAGGTGAAAACTGAAAAGACACAGGACGAATCCTTGTCATTAGGAACAAGAATCGAGATTGCGATCTTTTAACGATTAATTGTGCATCTTTAGATATGGTCCGGGTCCCTCCTTTAACTCAAGTCTGTTTTTTCCGTCTGTTTTGTTGTCGCCGAGCCAAAATCACTTGGAGAAGTAACAGCACACCTCTCTGCACAATTTTGAGGTGTCGTTCTTGCCCGTAACACTTACAGCACAGGATGAATTACACACAGAGGTAATTCATGAATTACTCAGGAGTAGGGTTAGCATTAACATTGCTTTCTGGTTAACATTTTCAAGCTCTTTTGTGCTTGGTGGGTACATGGTGTCTCGTTTGTGCCCCTCAGTTGAGGCGTCCTGGTCTGTTCGGAGCGTCTGTGACCTCACTGTTGGTTAGCCAGAAGAGGCCAGCATCGGTCAGGCCTGTCCTTCACTAATTGATCCCTCTTACATAAGAAAGAGATCCTGAGCATAGCAGCTCTAATCCCACCCTCTTTCTGCCAGCTCACACACACACACACTATCGTATACACAACCAATCAAAGCTGTCCATGGCCCTGTTTTATAAAACAGTCCAATCAGAAGTGAGATTGATGGAAAGACTCTTGGATGTCCATGCGACAGCAAGCACATGTTACATATATAGATATTGACTGACTTGGGATCAACATATTAGCGCGACCTTATGCACACTATCCAGTCATCTGAATAAATATCTGTGCCACTGCTTACTTAGTGGCTTAAGTTTGAAGATGGTCAAGGTAGGGCGAGCCGTGTCGGGTCACCGGGTTGACGTGGCGCACGGGGCCCCCCTCGGGATCAGTAAATCACATCCTGGATTTGCTGTGTTCTCAACGGGGGGTCAGCCAGGACAAGGTTAACCCTTTCAGAACGTCAGTGTGACCGTGTTTATCACAGTCGTAATCATCCCCGCGGCACAATGTCATACGGAGCATGAACGCCATGTGTCATGGAGCGTTATGTCACACTGGCCATCAAACCGCACGTCTGCTTAAATTCACCAAACTCCTCTCATCTGCTAATTTACAGACAGAATCTGCCTGTTTAATTGAGTTTTAAAATCATTTCAAATATAATAGTTCAAATTCATTTTCAAAATGATCTAATTAATTATATAACATTTATAAAATATACTGGTTGCTCTTTATTTTACAGTCCTGTTCCCAATGGACATACTATGTACGTATTATAGTACGTACAATAACTGGGTAAAAACTAGTTATTAACCCTGAACTTACCCCTAAACCTAACCTTAACCCATAGAGTTACCTTATATGACCCAGTACTTTCTTGGGGAAGAACGCTGTAAGTGCACGTACAGTAAAATAAAACAAACAAAACAATAAACCATTATTGTTATAATGGTTGCACTTTATATTTAATAACTTATTTTTATATATATATATGTATATATTCCTAATATGTTCTTATATTTATTTATTAATTAAATTATTAGAAAATAAACAATATATTCATACTTTAATTTAAATGTATTAAATATATGAATAATTTATTATTATTTTAGTAGTTTAGTACTTTACAAGAAGGCATTAACATTAATGTTAACATAAACAACAAACTTGTTTAGCATTTACACATTTATTAATGTAGGTTAATTAATAAATATACCATTGCTCATTGATAATTAATGTTCATTCATAATTCATTAAATAATTATTTTACCGTTGCACATTATAGATAACCTAGATTATAAAATTGTGTAAAAGTGTTGTTCTTTGTTGCTTTAGTTTATAATACTTAATGTTAATTAATTGAACCTGTAAATTGTTACTGATTGATAAGTCTCTTATGTTCAACCGACTGCATTTATTTGACTAAAAATACAGTAAAACATAATATTGTGAAATATTATTACAATTTAAAAACTTTTCTATTTGAATATATTGTAAAATGTGATTTATTCCTGTGCTGCATTACTCCAGTCTTCAGAGTCACATGATCCGTCAGAAATCATTCTAATATGCTGATTTGCTGCTCAAGAAACATTTCTTACTATATTCAGTGATGAAAACAGTTGTGCTGCTTAATATTTTTGTGGAAACCATGATACATTTTTCTTTGATGAATAGAATGTTCAAAAGAACAGCATTTTTTTTGTTTTCATTTTAAATGTCTGTTACTTTTGATCAATATAATGTGTTCTTGCTGAATAAATAATTCATTTCATTGTATGATAGTGTATTATTGTAGAGTGTAAATGTAGAGATTTGTTTAGAAGTTGTAGTAGTAGTTTTGTTTTGTTTGATGAAAGTTGATTTGGCTCTTATTTGCTGGTATAACAGAAAGCACAAAGTGTAGTCCAGCTCTGTTTGTCTTTAGTGTCCACCTGAATATAGATACCAGAGCCGAGGAGGCTCAGATAGAGTGACAGGATCCGTGTTCATGCAATCCGAGCGCCACAGATCTGGTAACGTTTTTCTGAGAATGAGAGAGGAATGGTTGACACTCCAGAAAACGGGGCAAATATGACGCCTGACAGTTTGGAAAATTCATGTGTCCTCTCGAATGTGGTTTAGCACATGACACGTGCCCTGGCTTCAAAGTGTTACATGTACCAACCTCGCCGTCCTTGTGGGAGTTTAGTTTGGGTTTTGTGTCATTCTGTCTTTAATTATAGAGACGCAACTGGTTGTTCTTCAAGGAAGCCGGTTAAGATTTCAAAATAAGTCGCGTTTGACATAAAAGTGTTTTTAAAAACGCTGTTTAATGATTTAAGAACACCAGCGGGGGTTCATGAGGATTTTAGGTTTCAGTATCTTGAAGGAATCACGCAAAGTTTTTTATTGCCAATGTATTTATTTGATATTAGTTTTGATATCAAGCAGTTTTCATTGATGTGGTTGTATCTTTATGATTGTCGGCACTGATTGATTTGACTCCACTGACACTATTGGATAAGAACTGAATTTTCTCCAGAGCTGCTTTATAGCTTAATTGAACTCATTTCATAATTAATACACTTTGCACAGTTATTGAACTGAACTGATCAGAAAACGCATCATTTTTCTCATGATATCCAATGCACGTCGCCTGATTTCTTTAAGAGTCTGAAAATGGTTTGAAAAAGGATTCGGTCTCTCTAAACCAGGGGTGCCCAACCCTGCTCCTGCCGATCGACTGTCCTGCACAGTTTATCTCCAACGCTAATTAAACACACCTGCCTTTAATTTTCAAGTGAGCCTGAAGACCTTAATTGGTTGCTTCAGGTGTGTTTGATTAGGGTTGGAGATGAACTCTGCAGGACAGTCGATCGGCAGGAGCAGGGTTGGGCACACCTGCTCTAAACCCTTCCTTTCCGAGAGCTACTCTGCTCTGATTGGTCAGATGACCCAGTCTGTTGTGATTGGTCTACTCGGCTCTGATTGGTCAGATGACCCAGTCTGTTGTGATTGGTCTACTCTGCTCTGATTGGTCAGATGACCCAGTCTGTTGTGATTGGTCTACTCGGCTCTGATTGGTCAGATGACCCAGTCTGTTGTGATTGGTCTACTCTGCTCTGATTGGTCAGATGGCTCAGTCTGTTGTGATTGGTCTACTCTGCTCTGATTGGTCAGATGGCTCAGTCTGTTGTGATTGGTCTACTCTGCTCTGATTGGTCAGATGGCTCAGTCTGTTGTGATTGGTCTACTCTGCTCTGATTGGTCAGATGGCTCAGTCTGTTGTGATTGGTCTACTCTGCTCTGATTGGTCAGATGGCTCAGTCTGTTGTGATTGGTCTACTCTGCTCTGATTGGTCAGATGGCTCAGTCTGTTGTGATTGGTCTACTCTGCTCTGATTGGTCAGATGGCTCAGTCTGTTGTGATTGGTCTACTCTTCTCTGATTGGTCAGATGGCTCAGTCTGTTGTGATTGGTCTACTCTGCTCTGATTGGTCAGATGGCTCAGTCTGTTGTGATTGGTCTACTCTGCTCTGATTGGTCAGATGGCTCAGTCTGTTGTGATTGGTCTACTCGGCTCTGATTGATCGGCCCAGTCTGTTGTGATTGGTCTACTCTGCTCTGATTGGTCAGATGGCTCAGTCTGTTGTGATTGGTCTACTCTGCTCTGATTGGTCAGATGGCTCAGTCTGTTGTGATTGGTCTACTCGGCTCTGATTGATCGGCCCAGTCTGTTGTGATTGGTCTACTCTGCTCTGATTGGTCAGATGGCTCAGTCTGTTGTGATTGGTCTACTCTGCTCTGATTGGTCAGATGGCTCAGTCTGTTGTGATTGGTCTACTCTGCTCTGATTGGTCAGATGGCTCAGTCTGTTGTGATTGGTCTACTCGGCTCTGATTGATCGGCCCAGTCTGTTGTGATTGGTCTACTCTGCTCTGATTGGTCAGATGGCTCAGTCTGTTGTGATTGGTCTACTCTGCTCTGATTGGTCAGATGGCTCAGTCTGTTGTGATTGGTCTACTCTGCTCTGATTGGTCAGATGGCTCAGTCTGTTGTGATTGGTCTACTTGGCTCTGATTGATCGGCCCAGTCTGTTGTGATTGGTCTACTCTGCTCTGATTGGTCAGATGGCTCAGTCTGTTGTGATTGGTTTACCGCCTACAGCGTGTGTCGAAAACGAAAAGCCCATTACCATAGCTGAATTAAATTCCAGCATGAGTCGTCATCCTTTGGAAGTCTAGCCAAGTGGATTTTCTTTCACAGCGCAGAAATCAGCGTCTTTTCTACATGACGACAACACGAACCAAACTCTTCCAGGGCGGGGCAAAGAAGACGTTGTTCACGGGCAGCCAATGAAGAGCATAGGCTGGCATTATACAAATTTGTTTCATTGTTGTGTAGGTTTGTAACAGGAAGTGAGGCTGCAATTTCTGACGACTCATTTCAGCAGTTCAGAATCGATTCTTTCTTTTAAGAGAACATAACTTGATTTGTTGTGCTCTTTGATCTTTAAAACTTTGCAGACCTTTTACATTCACAAACAGCTTTATTACACGTTGTATAAAAGGTAAGGTAATATTCGAAAAATCATAATGGGGCACTTTAACTATTAAACCCACTTCTGTCCTTCAGGGTCGAGTTGAAGTTGAGGCTGGAAATGAGAATATGAAGTTTGAGGCCGGTCCTTTCTCTTATTACGGAGTCATGGCACTGAATACACCATGCCTGGGTGAGTATTTATTTATTACTTGCTCTCTTATTTTCTCTCTCTAATCGAAGAGTGTGATATATTCCCACTTACAGGGTTACTCCATCCAAAAATGAAAGTCTTCTCATAATTTACTCACCCTCATGTTGTTCCTTTTTTTCTTCTTCTGCGCAACAAAAAATAAGATATTTTGAAAAATGTTGGAGCTTATTGACTTCCATTTTATGGACAAAAACACAGTAATCATATCTTAATAATTACAGAACGAAAAATGAGACGAGTTAAAGATGTTCCATGATCTTTTCAAGTTTCATAAAGGATGCAAAAAGCGCCATATAATACAGCAATACTACAATAATTACAAGAAACAGACAGAAATGATGTGTCTGTTGATGTTTGCTGCCCAGCCATAGATCAGTAGTCAGCGGCGTGTTTTTTTAGAGTCTCCCAGTGCAGACACAAGCACTTTGTCATGATCTGTCATTGTCAGTTTAGTCTGGTGTTATATAATAACGCTGTAGCTGCCGGTAGGGGACTGTACGGACACATCTGACCGCAGGGACATCTGCTGGCCGAGTGTCAGTATGTGTAATGATGCTGTCTGATTCTGTTCCTTCACCTCCAGCTGTGCCGCAGTCCATCCATGTGCCAAACGTCACATTTATGTGCTTAGCATGTGTCTGAATGTGTGCCTGCATGTGCTTTGAGAAACACTGTATAAGAGACCAAAGGTCATGTGACTGATCCATTGGCATTTACTTGTCCTCTGGTCCTTCCAAAGCCTGTATTATTTTCTTTAAACCTTGAAATCCAAAAGGAGATATTTAGCAGAAATACTCTAAGCTGATTTTCTCAGCACAACACTACTGGATGGTAATTCATTCACACTTTTAAGCTTCAAAAACAACGTGAAGGTCTGCATGTATATTCCGAGTCTTCTGAAGACAATAAACTTTTTTTTTTTTTGCAATGAACAGACTGAAAATTAGCTTCCAAAACAATGCATGCAATAATTTGATGCAATTCAGCCCACTGTGGGCTAATTTAATTAAATTAATAATAACATATTGTGAATATATTAAATATTGTGAATATTAAAATATTGTGAAAGTTGTCATTGTAGTCATACATTGACTGAGGCTGCATTTATTTAATCAAAAATATAATATTGTAAAATATATTATTACAATTTGAAAGAACTATTTTCTATATTAATATATTTGAAGATGTATTTATTCCTGTGATGCAAAGCTGAATTTTCAGCATCATTACTCCAGTCTTCAGTGTCACATGATCCTTCAGAAATCACTCTAATATGATGATTTGCTATTATCAATTGTTATATGTACTCTGCTATTATTAATAATGGTTATTATTATTATTATCATTGTTGAAAACCGTTTTTGCTGCTTAGTATTTTGTTGTGGAAATTATAATAAAGTTCAAAAGAACAGCATTTATTTTAAATCAAAATCTTTTGTAACATTATAAAGGTCTTTACTGTCATTTAATGTCCTTGCTGCATAAAAGTATTCATTTCCGTTTTTTCTACATTGCATATTAGAAGAAATCATCATATTAGAATGATTTCTGAAGGATCATGTGACACTGAAGACTGGAGTAATGATGCTGAAAATTTAGCTTTGATCACAGGAATAAATTACATTTTAAAATAAAGTCCTTTCCTTGTACAGCTTGGACATTCTGCAAAATATCTACATGTGAGTTCCACTGAAGTCATGCAGGTTTGGAACGATAGCGACGAGTTTTAGGTGAAACAACCCAGAAAATGTTTAAAAGATTAGAAGCATAAATTACCCCTTCAAGGAAAATACAATGTTCCCATAGTGCATTATAATGAGGGATCCTTCAGCAACTGTCCACAGGATGTTAATGTGTGCCGTGTTTAAAGAGCTTCTCTGTCTCTCCTCTGCTCTGGCTCCCCCCCCCTCAGCTGTCACCCCCCCTCTCTCTCCTGCCGTGGTGTCGCCTCGTCCGCGCCGCCTTTCACTTAAGAGGTTTTCTCTGTTCTCGCGTTTCCCAGGTAAAATCCCCTGCATGCTAACTCGGGGATGAAGGGGAGCTAACATGGGGGTGGTGCGGGACAGGAACTAGTTTAAAATGAAATAAAATAACCTTTTATCATGCTATGAACCGGTGTCCAGCTCATTTTATTTTAAAAGCTCTGTTCCAAAAGCCTATTCAGCAATTTCAGTACTGCATTGATAGAAGATATAGTTTCAATAGGTTTTATGAAACATTCACTATTTTCAAATCAAGTTTGTGCTTGCATTCCTTCAAGACATTCAAAATTGACGCAATTAGCCACAAGACATGCAAGAACAAAACGCTTGACGCCATTGACTTCACACTTTGCACAAGTCTTGAGGTGGCAGGTTTGAATGTATGCAAGCATAATTGAGATTCGTGAGCTACAGCTGAGAATTTGAATAAATAGTTTTAAATTCACATTTTAATCATACAAAATTATCATTAGCATTCAAAAGAACTGACATATAGTGTTAGCCTGGGAAAACCCAGACAACTTCCGGCAAATTTAGATTTGCTCTGAAAGTTAGTCTGGCAAAGAGCTCATTCAAGCCCATTTCCAATCCGCCGAAATCGAGGCACCAATCAGAAACGTTGGGGCGGGCTTTACACGATGACGACAGCGCTGGGATTTTGAAGCAGATTTTGTAGCCTACATTACAAAGATGGATGCCGCCGTCGCGCATCACTCGTTCGAATCAGCTATCGCGTCTTTAAGCGATTTGAACGTTTCCTTTTTGTTAAAAACCGAGCAAAGAACAACACTTCTCCGCCGCTCTGCATACGTCATCTCCTTCATCGCTCTGATTGGGTTTAGGTCTATCCGCGACGTCCGTTGGTGACGCCCCTCTGGAAATGATTTGTCTATGACGCTTTGCCAGACCATAACTCAGTTACAACTGAGAATGCTCTGGTTTTAACCAGGCTAATATAGTGTATGAACCACTTTTACTTTTTAGTCCTTTCAAGTTACAAACAGGATGTGACGATCACTGTAAAAGTGTGAAAACATGCTGAACTTATTTATGTAATATATATTCATACTACAGAGAGACCTACTCAAAAGAGAATGCGATTTCAGACGCAGCCCTAGTTTTGATTTATTAGCTTAGCAACATGATAATAACAGGAATCTACTGTAAGCAGATGCTCAACATGGCATTAGACATATACACTGTACGTAGATGCAAATGACTGTTAGTAAAATGTAAGCTTGCTGGATATTGGTACTGGCATTGACCTCATGAGTTCAATCTTTTTAACCACTAACACACTCACCCCGCTGCCCACATCACTTCCTGTCCATCACACCTGACCTCATGCATTTGAACATCACATTCACACCACCCTGAAAATACAGTCCTGCCTTAGTATCAGAATATACAGCACACATGCTCTGCTTCTGACATGATCATTGAAGATTGGTTCATGACGTCATGATGAAACTGGTTGTTTGGATAAAATATACTTTATACAGTAAATTATACTATATGTAATGTACATGATCAGTCATACTAAGTGTACGTAAGTGCAGTGCAGTCTTGCTACCATTAACTAAAACAAAAAAAAAATTAATTGAAATAAATTAAACATTTCAGCAAAAGTACTAAAACTAAAACAGAAATGATAAAAACTAAATAGACATTTAAAAAACTAATGCAAACAACAAACACGCAACAAATACAAAAAATCTTTAACTAAAACGAAAATGAAAACATAAAAAAACGAATTCATATATTATTAAACACTAAGATAATTTGGTTATTTTATATAAATTTAGTTTTACTTTTATTGTTTACGTCTGTTTTTCTCCCATTGTTTACGTCTGTTCTCCTCGGGAACAGAGTGGTTTGGGTTATGAATATTAATTACGTAAAGTGATGTTTGCCCATCTAGTAGCGGGTTATTTATTTTCTGAATAAAAATATTAAGATACTTTGACCAACCTGTACGTTCTCAGACGCTTCTGGCTGGAGTGCAAATGTATAGTCAAATACTAAGGCAATTTTCCGATATCATCAATTCTCTTGATATCGCTGTGATTGGTTCCGTCATGAATTTTAATCATGTTCTCTTTGGTTACAGTTACTGACCTAACAACTACACCGAGAGCATGTGAGCGACACGATACGGAAACACTAGAACGATTCCGTTATTATCAACAAACTTTGCATGTTTTGCAGTGTGTGTGATTTCATGGATTATAACAGGAGAGTTGTAGCCTAGTTTATCACATCGCGTCGCTCACAGAGTAAACTATATAGCGCTTCAACGAATGTTAACTATGGCAAGCAGTTTTGACTTCTATTTATTCAAAAGCCTAGATGAATTGATATCAACAATTACATTTTCACTAGTTAAAATGCAAATTCTAGATATCAGGAATTACATTTCCACTAGTAAAAATGTTCATTCTTGATATCAACAATGACATAATCACTTGCAGAAAAACGAATTATTGGTATCAAGAACTAATTTTCAACTTTTTTTTTTTGTAATTGTAATTTCACATATCAGAAATACAATTCTTCCTAGTAAAAATCAAAAATTTTGATATCAATAATTACGTGGTTATTATAGTAAAAATATAAATTCCTGATATCAATAGCTTAATTGTCTCTAGTTGAAATGATACTTCTTGATATCTGTAAATGCATTTCAACATGCTACATACAGGTGAAACTCGAAAAATGAGAATATCGTGCAAAAGTTCATTTATTTCAGTAATTCAACTTAAAAGGTGAAACTAATATATTATATATGCAAAGTGAGATATTTCAAGCCTTTATTTGTTATAATTTTGATGATTATGGTTCACAGCTTATGAAAACCCCAAATTAAAAATTAGAATATTGTGAAAATGTTTTCATAGCTGTAAGCCATAATCATCAAAATTATACCAAATAAAGGCTTGAAATATCTCCCTTTGCATGTAATGAGTCTATATAATATATTAGTTTCACCTTTTAAGTTGAATTACTGAAATAAATGAACTTTTGCACCATATTCTAATTTTTCGAGTTTCACCTGTATGTTATTTCTGGTATTTGAAAATGTGTTTCTGATATTAATAATTAGCATTTAGAGTAATTTCAGATATCTAAAATGGCGTTCTTACTAGCAATCACATTCATGATATCAGAAATTAACATTGTCGCTAGTGACAATCGAATTATTGATATAAAAAAGAACTTTTACTAGTAGCAGTTCAATTGTTGATTTCAAGAAAAGACATTTGCACTAGTAACCACCTAGTTATTGATATCAAAAATAATGATTTTTACTAGTAAGAATTGTATTTCTGATATGTAAAATTAGAATTTCAACTATTAAGAAATCAATTATTGATATCAATAACTGAATTTGAATGGGAGCCTATGGTGACATTTAACTAGTTACAATTACAGATATCAAGAATGAAAGTTTTTACTAGTGAAATGTTATTCCTGATATCAAGAATTAGCATTTTAACTAGTGAAAATAGAATTGTTGATATCAAGAATGCATATCCTGCGAATGCAGCTTGCCATAGTTAACCCTGTTAACACAGAAAGATCTCCCATGCTTTTACTAGTAACCATGCACTTCTAAATCAATGGGATCAAGTGAAATGTTTGTGCGCTTTTGTCCGCATCATTGAGCATTCATGTACTGTCTGTTATTTGGCGCAGTAAAACCTGTCAAACCAAACACTGCAGTGACTGCTGAAGGTAGTTCATAACACCTCTAGATGGCGCTAGTGTATTCATATTTTACAGTCAGAACATCTAGTGCTCATCCCACATGGTTTTGTTTTGACAGAGGTTATGAACATCCTCTTCTCTTTATTATCACATACTAATATTATAATCTATTCTTCTCCAATATAACTAAACTAATGCTGCTGCTCATACACAAGTGCACGCTTTAGAAGCCTGAAATGACCATCCAATCATTTGCAAGAGTCTTTCCATTCATTTCAAATGTCATATGAGTTTCTTTGTTGCTCCTTGTCAGTTGTTGTGCTTTCCCTCTAATCGACGACATCATCTCACTGTTGTTGTTTTAAGTCTTGCCACATTTGTATTAGTGTGTATTTTCATTGAAACTGTTTCATCTGTGTCTGTGTGTGTCTGTGTGTGTAAGCAGACGTGCCACAACATGAACTGATGGGTTTCATGTGCATTCCAGAGTTTCGCTCGCCGTCTCATGTGAGCGGTTTGAACCGCTCTGCGTCTCTGAGCTGCACGGAGAGAGTGGATTCTGTGTCCATCGGTGGCAGTAACAGTCAGCTCAATAACAGCCCCGTGCCACAGTACGTCCCTGATTTTAATGTGCGGGCCATCACTGACGTACAGTTTGTGAAGGTATGTTATGTCCATAAATGTTCTTGTGGCTCGTGAGCCAGTCCGCTCCTGAAATGTGAAGTCATGCTCCTGTGTATGCTGCTTTTTTGGAGCTTGGTAGATCTTTAATTTGAGCTGTTTTTGTATGTCTAATGGGAAATGTATTATACATGCTTATCCGCATTGTATCCGTCACCCTGCTCTCTAGATTTTGGCATTAGCATTTACTGAAAAAAAACCCCAAAACATATTTGTTGAACATTTTAGCAATAAGTGTTTAAGTCAGACACTACCGATTAAAGGTTTGGGGTCGGTAATATTTTTAAAATTGAATTCTCTTATGCTGCATTCATTTTTGAAAAATACAGTAAAAACTAGAATATTATTATTATATTAATAAATAAATACGATTTAAATTTACAATGGCTGTTTCCTGTTTTAAAATGTGATGTATTCCTGTGATCAAAGCTGAATTTTTCAGCATCATTACTTCAGTCTTCAGTGTCACATGATTCTTCAGAAATCATTCTAATATGCTAATATGCTTTGATATATATATATATATATATATATATATATATATATAATCAGGTCATAGCAGCATTAGAATGATTTCTAAGGGATCATGTGACACTGAAAACTGAAGTAATGATGCTGAAAAATTCAGCAATTGCTTCAGAAATTAAAGAAGAAAAGAAAAAAAACAATATATACATATACACAGTGTGTGTGTGTGTATATATATATATATATATATATATATATATATATATATATATATATACAGTGTATACATATACACACACATATTAATATTTTGATATCATTAATATTTTAATATATTTTCTTAATTTATATTCAAATATTTTGACCAGCCTGTCCAGTCTCAGACTTTTTTCAGCAGAAGTTCAGTGTGTTGCAGAGCCTCTAAATGGATGTGGTGATGAAGAAAATGTATATCTTTTCCGTTCGCTTGCAAAACCTTTCCGTTCGCTTGCAAAACCTTTGCGTTGCGGCCAGTGAACTCAAAGTTTCTCGTGCGAGAGAACGCAAATGCATTGACAAGTAATTTTTCCTCCCATCTCATATTTGTTTCCTTCACCATGTCCCTTTAGGGCTATTACGTATAGTCCAAATACTAAGGTAATTGTCCAATATCATTGAGGTATATACATATACAAAAATGCTATCTTTGCGTCCAAAATTGCATACTCTCTGAGTAGGTGCTACATTTGAATTAGCGACCGTTAAAAAAGTGTGTTCTATATAGTATGAATGTGTGTAGTATGTATGAAATTCGGACGTACTACATCAGCCATGTTGTCATTATCATGTGACCTACAGCGTCAGTTGCTTCGCTTCACTTCCAATCACAAATCCTCTCCCGTTGCCTCATGGGATAGTAAAGTGTATATTGAATGCTCACTTCAGAAAGGTCACCCGAGTACTTTTTGCGCACTGGTTGGTTTTTGTATACTATAGTAGGGAAGTATTCGCTTTCGGGCGCTGCATATATATATATATATATATACTTTTATTATCAGTGAACTTTTGAAGCTTGATTTGCAGTGTGGGTGACATCACTGATTATGAAGCGTTCTAGTTCATCACATTGCGTCAATCACTGAAAACTAGTCAAATCTCACACATGCTTGTATCTGTGGCCATGTGAGTCATAAAGTGAAATGATTGTGCAATTATTATTATTATTATGAATGTTGAATGCAGTTGTGCTGCTTGATATTTTTGTGGAAACCATGATACATTTTTTCTCAGGACCTTTGATGAAAGAAAAATACAAAAGAACATAAATAATTTGAAGCAGAATCTTTTATAACATTGTAAATGTCTTTAATGTCAGTTATGATCAATGTCATGCAACCTTGCTGAATAAAAGTACGGATACCTTTTTGATCCGTTTTTTTATTTTGTCTTTTTCAGATCACTCGTTCTCAGTACCAAAACGGCTTCCTGGCTTCAAAGCTGGACAGCACTCCTCAGTCCCCTGAAAGCAGCCATACGCGTCTGGATACCGGCCCTCTCCCACCCCCTCCCCCTACCGTCAGCGTGAACCACACCACAGCGCTGGCGGCTCCCAGAGAGAACGGGCCGGATGAGACCACCTCGCTGCTCAACGACAGCCTGAAGAACAGCCTGTCCAAACGCCAGCCGAGCCACGGCCACCCTCAAAACCAGTCGCACCTGAACACCAACGTCAACTCCAGCCCCGCCCCTCATCCCCACGGCAACAGCAGCCCCGCCCCTCATCCCCACGGCAACAGCAGCCCGACGCCTTTCCCCAACCCTCACGCGCATCATGTGCACATGTTCACGCACGCGCACACCGAGAGCACCATTTGACGACACTAATCTGGGGCCCTTGCGGAGCTCCAGAGTTGAACGAATGCGATCGCACAAGCACATTTACACTTGACGATGTCTTTCTCAAAACCTGCTAGAAACTACACTACATCTATGGCCTGATCTCTCATTTCGAGAGGCCAAAGGTGTGTTATAGAACTCCAAAAAAAGGTGCATCGTCTTCAATGTTGGACGTGATCTCACTGTGATTTTAGGGGCTGCGGGTTCGGTCCGACGTTGAAGTCTTTATGACAGGTTATGGTGACTTATGACCTGTGTTGCATGCTAATCATGTAGACATGTAATCACGTAGACACTATCTTAATGTTTTCTGTAAATTATGTTAATGCTACAAATATGCCCGTTTATAGGCATTATACAATATTTCATCAGTATATAACGAAGTTATTGTACGATATGCACTTCTTATGATGTCTCTGACCCAGCAGCACACATTTGTGTGCTGTAGTTTTCTGAGATTATGAGCATAAGAGCACTTTGAGTCTCATAAGCTATTATTGGACTGTTTGTGTACAACTAACCTTTCAGAGAGACTGGTCTAGTTTATTTGGTTATTTGCCAGGGTTAAGAGTGGCTACGTGATGTAGCCGTGATAAAATTGTAGCTCTACGTGACAAACGTGAAGGAAAACTTTGTAAATATAGTTTGAAGATGTGAAATTTGCTGACACAGATGTGGTTCAGAGAACCCCACATGGTGACATTTTATAGCAAAAAAAAACATTGAGCTTTTACCACTGCAAAACCCAGACCTGTGATTTATGAAATTCAAATTATGATACGATAGTTTATTTAAAGATTAATGTATTTATTTTTTTGTCTAAATTATGTATGTATATTTCATCAATATTTTGTATAATCTTTTTTTTTTTCTTCTTTTCTTTTTTTTTTGCCTAATTGTAATTCGTCCCCTGGATGACTCTCACAAAGGTTATATTTCACAACAACAACATTTATTCGACTAAATAAAGCCTATATATACCATTAAGATTTTTTTTTGCATGATGTTATGCGTTATTTTCACGACAATTACGCACATTTTCTTGACAAATTCTCATTACTGTACTTTTTCCTTGGGGTTTTGTAATTCTCATTCTCAATGATTCTCGTTAGAGTCGTATTTCTGTACTACGATTGTTAAAAAATATTTTTTTTTTTATTAAGTCAGTACAGTTACTGCACTCATAATGTAGGAATATTTAAATTTGTTTCACTTCACAGTAATGAAAATACTAAGAAATGTCAGAATGCAAAAAATCTTCATGGTCTTTATTAATTTTCATTTTGGGGTGAAATATGATCTGAAATTTTGTGAGATTTAAGGCACATCAAGAACAATAACTATAACGATAATGTATAACGATAAAGATAGTTCTAAAAATCATTCTAAATATTAAAGAATTTCAGAGTCCACACCACAACAATAACGGCACAGAAAAACAATATTGTTGGAATCGCTTTCAGAACGATTTTTCCCCGCTGATGAACGATAGAAACATTGACAGCCAATCAGAATCCATCCTGGTAACTAATATAGTTATCGTTCTTGGTGTGAACGGCCCTTTACCTACTAGCTACTGTCCATCAAACAACTCAAATGCAAACAACTGTTTCCACCAACATTCCTGTCCTCGGGTAGAGAGATGCTTAAACAGAATTCACTGTGAACTGAAGTGACACCATACATTCATTCTCATACTTGTTTGTACACTATTGGATCTTCAGTATCTCTTCCTGAAGTCACCAGTACGGTTTGGTTTGTTATAATAAGCCTCTAGAGTTCAAAGTGAGCAGTTAACAAACTAAAGCCTCTTTCCTTGCACTATATTGAGATTTTCTAGATCTTTTTGCAGTGACCATAAAGCCAGTTCTGTCCTGAGATCACGTTTCAGAGATCACACAGTGATATTTCCATTGTGTTGCTCTCATGCTGAGCTGACATTAGAAACTATTTAAAAACCTTATTCTGGTGTATTCATGGCATGCTGTAAGTACGCTATGCAGTGCATGCATAAAGGTTTCAGCGTTAAAGTGTTCTTTTATTTCATAAATTGTATGAATATCCCAGTGAGTTGCTGAGTAAAAAGTATTAGAACGAATTACTCTGAAGAATAGCATTGGATTGTTGTTAGAATTGTTTTACTCTTTGAAGAGTATGAAATTGACTTTTTCCAACTTGTGTATGATGATTATTAATATTATAATAATAATATTATTTATAAATGTTTTGTTGCCTTTACAAGAGATTTAAATCTAAAGCAATAAATAGTTATTTGTTTCTTTTTTACAATGTTTAATGTACAATTGCACACTTGAGAGAAGAAATAAGTTGCATTTTACCTAGTGCTGTCAAATCGATTAATCCCGATTAATCACATCTAACATAAAAGTTTTTGTTTATATAATATATGTTTCCAAACCTGACCGATACTGTACACACACACACACACACACACACATATATATTATATAAACAAAAACTTTTATGTTAGATGCGATTAATCGCGATTAATCGATTTGACAGCACTAATTTTACCTCAACTGACATTCTTGAATTATGATATTTGGCTAGTATATACTTCAACTGAAACCAAAACGTGGGCACTGCGAGCTCTGTTCTGCGCCGTAAGATGTTGTATTATAACCAAAGTTACAACACATGGAATTAAATTTGTGAGTGAACCCATTGGCCAAAGCCTTTTGCACTTTGATTTGTCTGTTTAATTCTCATGTTCCTCTCTTATTGCACAGGGACTCTGTTTTGTGGGGGTGGGGATGCTGTTGCTGTTGCTGCTTGAAACTAATGAAATTCCTGTGAGCGTGCCGCTGAGATTTCCATCCCAGCTCTGTAATCTGCTTTTAATGTTCACCATAGTTTCTGCTGAGGAATTGTACGGTAGAGATGCTGTGCAGGTTCCCCTTGTTTGATCATTAGACCACGGTGAAGGTTAAAGATTACAAATGTGAGTTTTCAGGATCCACGGTTGCATTTTCAACTCTGCATTTATTTACTTTTCGGGGTCATGACCTATATTGACCTTTCAAACAGTTCAGGGTGTTGTATTGCATACTAAGCACACTTTGTTTGGGGTTCACTAAAGTGTGAGTACACTCTTGTCTTCCATTACACAAGTGAAATAATGAAAAAGAATGAGGTATGAGTTTTTTTCATATTTATTTAAAAAAACAAACTAACAATGATTTTCCCCATGCTTTTCCTATCCTCAAGTTGCTCCTGTTTAAAGGGAAATGCAAATGTACTGTACCTCCCACGAACACAATCGTATTTAAAGCAATGTGTATATAGTATTTTGTATTTCTTTTTGAGTTCTGATGATGTATATCTAAGAGATATTTCTCTAATAAACACCTCTTTTGCTCAGTCTGTCTGTGCAGTGCATTTATTCCAGTTGCAAAAACATTTTGCACGCTGTAAAACATTGCGGTCAGTTTTTAACTTATAAACGTTGTTACTCTATGCTATAATCGTTTAAAACCTGTAAATGTTTAAATAAACCTTCTCTGTTTTCGACTGCACAACCAGATAAAGGCGTTTATTTATTTTTTCAAAAAGCCTTGAGAAGATGCTAATCTCACAGGCTGACGCTCCACAGTGCCGTTGTAGGCGTGGTTTACCATGCCATCCCGTACTCCGATTGGTCAAGCGCGAACTTGCCGTTCTGTCATTGGTCCATCATTGACACGACGTAGCGTCCGTTCGAAAAAGAAACTGTGTTCATTGTGGCTCCAGAGTTCGGGGCCACGTCTGTGCCTGTTTCTTAAGAATCTCGGAGCCAACATGGCGGCCGGACCTAGCCAGTTTCCCACACCGTTTTATATGAAAACAAGTGAAAAAGTAGGAGGGTAGCAGCAACAACATCAGCAGCGTCACATGATTCATAAAGCCAGGCTGCCCTGTTCCAATATGGTGGTCAGCTTGGCGGAGCTGCGTCTCCCGTTGATCATATCTTTCCTGTGCGGGTTCGGAGCCTGCAGCCTTCAAGAAGTGCAGGTTTTCGGGCTGCGCCTGGAGGACCCCAGCGAGCTGGTGTACCGGCACGAAGGGGTCATCGTAGCTCCAAACGGGACCAATTTCACGCTCAGGTTGTTTGGGTCCTACCTGTCCAATGAGACCTGGCCGTGGGTCGCGTTCGCCGCGCCTGGAGACTGTTTGGCTGACCCGTGCGCGATGGAGAAGTGTCGCAGGTCCGCTTCGTTCCAGGTGCGCGGCTTGGTTGAGGAACGTGAGGAAAACAGCAGGCTTATAGAAGTCCATGCCGAGGTTGCAACATCCGAGACGCAGAATAAAGATGCAGAGCCTGTTTTCCATCACATCTGCGTCTTAAAGGGCCAGACGTGGGGGTCATTCGGGTCGGACAAGTTTCTCATTAAGGACCCGGGTGTACCATCTGATTTCATTCCGTTATGGGGTTTGGTTTTGGTGCTTGTACTTCTGGTTTTGATTTGCTGTGTGGTCAGATGCTTGAATCTGAGTTTGCTGTGGCTGGACCCACTGGAGCTGTATGTTCTGCACAGCTGTGGTTCAGAGGATGAGAAGCGGGCGGCCAAGCGCCTCAAGCCCATCCGGAGGAGAGGAAACGTTTTGGTGTGCTCTCTCCTGTTCATTTGTGCATTGGGTCACTCTGTGCTCGGTGTTCTGTTGTACCGCCTCTATGGGTCCATCCTCCCCGCTGTGTTCACTAGCGGCTTCCTCATATTCCTCCTGGCTGAGTTGGTTCCTCATATTGTATGTTCGGGCTATGGGTTCCAGGTGGCACCGGGTTTGATATGGCTGGCCCAGATCTGTCTCATTCTGACGTGTCCACTTTCCTGTCCTCTCGGACTCCTGCTGGACTTGATCCTCCACCGGGACGTGAGCACCTGCGGCATCCGCGAGAAAACCATGGAAATGATTCGGACTAGTGTGAACGATCCGTATAATGAGTTTGTCAAGGTGGAGTTCAGTAAGGGCGCTCTCAGGACCAAAACCGTGGAGGATATCTTGACCCCTCTGAAAGATTGCTTCATGCTGCCTTCCACGGCCGTTCTGGACTTCAGCACCATGTCTGAGATCATGCAGAGCGGATACACTCGCGTCCCTGTGTACGAAGAGGAGAGGTCCAATATCATCGAGATCCTGTACGTGAAAGACTTGGCGTTGGTTGATCCAGAGGACCGCACTCCCATGACCACCATCACAAAGTTCTACAACCATCCTCTGCATTATGTTTTTAATGACACCAAGCTGGATGCAATGCTGGAAGAATTCAAAAAAGGCATGTTAAATCCTAAGCCGATGCCTTCAAACTACATGTATCGGCGACGCGTTCAACCTTTATTTGACTTAGGCCCATATTGAATGTATATAATATTTGGGGTTTTATTTTCATCAAACACTTTATCTATTATTTATTCAAGTATTAATACTTTTTATAATACACTGCCCGACCAAAAAAAGTCTCTGTTTGGATTTAAATAGGTTAATGTGTCAATGATGGGATCATTATTTCAGTGATTATTATGTTTCTTTTATATTATATGTTTGGCAACAGTTCTTCTAACCCTAATTGATGGAGTGTGTAGCTTTTCATTTCTTAAACAACCATGTATGAGACACATCATGACCATATTCCAGGATGATAATGTCATGAAGAATCATTTCCACACATGAATCGTCTCCTCTGAGTCCAGAGCTTAAATTCATTGAGAGTGTTTGGGATGTGCTGGAGGAGACTTTACAGAGTGCTGGACTCTTGCATTGACAATACCAAAAATGAATGCACCTCTTGATGGAAATAAATGTTGTGATGCTATTACCATCAAGAGGTGCATCCATTTTTTCCTACATGGTGGTTTAAGAAATGAAAAGCTACACACTCCATCAATTAGGGTTAGAGAACTGTTGCCAAACATATAACATGATAGAAACATAATAATCACTACAATGATGCTCCTTTCGTTGACACATAAGCATTTGCCTATTTAAATCCAAACAGCGACTTATTTTTGGCCGGGTAGTGTATAATAATATATTAAATAATATATTTAAATGTGTATGTTTTTATTATTGTTATTAATCTGTCATAATGGGTTAGTAGTGTCTTGATAACTTGATAATCATAATCAGATGCCTTAAAACTGGGTGTGTCGGTGTGCAACCAATATTTTAACAATTATTAAGTATTTTTGTTGGCATGATTAGGCAGATATTGATCGCATATAAATATTCAGGCTTTTATTTTCACAAAACTTTTTATGAAATATTTTAATTTCTATCTTATTATTTTTTTCTTCATATTTGTATGTTAAAATACACCTAAAACTGTGTTTATAATATCAGTGTTTATAACACATCTTTCTTTAATACTTGATTCAGATCACTGGAATTTTTTTATTTTTTATTTTTTTGGACAATTTATATATTTTTTGTATACTTAACAATAACATTAACGCCACTATGGCTAGTGGTTTTCCAAAGTTACTAGTCACTCAGCATTTGGCTAATATTTTGACCGATACCATGGAGAAAAACTGCCATATAGATATTTTTAATATTATCTCATAATTTGGCAGCAGGAATATTAGGCTGCTGTCACTTTAAGACCTGATGCACGGATCCATTATACTGTTACACATGCGTTTCTTTCTCAACTGTTTACATTCACTTAAAACATAACTGACTGTTTACATTAATACTCTCCAAGACCGGCATTTTGACATTATTTTGTGTGTATTTGATTGTTTAAGTGCAATAAGCAGCGAGAAATAACTCAATTTAGTACTGAGAGGTGGCTTTATGTGAACGCACTTTGGGTGAGAGCACAAAATCTGCGGGAATTAGTAAAATTATGCTCAATACGCACAATCCCACGCTGAATTTCAAACTGTATCACCAAAACAATGCAATTTTAGAAACTTAAGAGTAAAACAAAGTCATTGCGAAGCTGCTTCCTCTAAAGCAAATGTTCTCTGTCTGTCCTCACAGGAAACTCACACCTGGCCATCGTTCAGAAGGTGAATAATGAGGGCGAAGGAGATCCGTTCTACGAGGTTCTGGGGCTGGTCACGCTGGAGGACGTTATTGAGGAGATCATCAAATCTGAGATCCTGGACGAGTCTGATGGTTACAGTGAGTAGCTGCATGCTGTGTTTTTGAGTTGATAGCTGTTGCATCATTTGATCTGAATTATAATGTGTTTTGTCTTCTTCCACAGTGGACATGAAGGTGAAGCGTCCGATGGCCCCGCTGGAGATTCCCCTGGAGCCGCGCAGCGTTCATGACGAGTTCTCCATCTTTAAACCTCCAGAGGGCGAACCGAAGATCCGCACCTCTCCTCAGCTGTTGCTGGCCACCCACCGCTTCCTATCCCGAGGTCTGCCTGCTTCAATATACTGAAAATTGCTCTGTGTGTGATCTGTTTAAAATGACTTTTATAATCCTTATTCAGTATTCATGAACAACAAAAAATAATGGAAATGCATTGGTCAGAAGGGAACCCTTCAGTGCTTTTGGATGGTAAAATCATTAGTACTCAGCCTCAAATGGCTTATTCTTCTCAAGGGTAAAATGTAAAATAACAAAAATTATTTTATAAAGCGAATAACAGACCAAATATAAAAGGCAGCCATTCTAAAAAATTGCTTTAAAAATGATCATAATCTCAAAAAAAAAAAAAAATCACACTATCGTTAACTAAAGGGACAGTTCACCCATCATTTATCTCATCATTTCCTCACCGTCAAGTTGTTCCAAACCTGTATGAGTATCTTTCTTCTGTTGAACACAAAAGAAGATATTTTGAAGAATGTCGGTAACCAAACAGTTGTTGGACCCCATTGACTTTCATAGTATGGAGAAAAAAAATACTATGGAAGTCAATGGGGTCCATCAACTGTCTGGTTACCAACATTCTTCAAAATATCTTCTTTTGTGTTGTTCAACAGAAGAAAGAAACTCATACGGGTTTGGAACAACTTGACGGTGAGGAAATGATGACGCTATCCCTTTAACACTGTCAAAGCAAGCAACTTGTCATATTTATATAATTCTACTGATGTGTGGTCAGATCTTCAAGCGTGGGTCGTCCGATGTTAGAGCTGAATCACTTTTAAATCACTCTCTTTATCTACTGTTATGTTTATATACAATATGCACTAATGTTCAAAAGTTTGGGGTCAATTAGATGGGGGGGATTAATACTTTTATTCACCAAGGATGCATTTAATTGATCAAAAGTTTCAGTAAGACATTTATAATGTTACAAAAAAATCCTGAAAAATTGATCACAAGTTCCACAAAATATGAAGCAGCATGACTGTTTTTATTGATAATAATCAGAAATGTTTCATGAGCAGCAAATCAGCATATCAGAATGATTTCTGAAGGATCATGTGACACTGAAGAGTGAAGTAATGATGCTGAAAATTCAGCTTTGATCACAGGAATAAATCGCACGTTAAAATATATTCAAATAGAAAACTAAATAGTAATTTTTAATGTACTCTATTTGAAGCCTTTCAAAAACATAAACACATCTTACCGGCCCCAAACGGTATATTTGTTAGCCTGACAAGAAGGAAGTGCAGAAGAAGAAAGTGCTCAACTTTTAGAGGACATTCCCAGTGTCTCGGGTCAATGGCGGGACGGTTTGTGCTTGTTATGGGCCAGTTAATGGAGGTGATTTCATCCGCCAGTAAACACTGCACCGCTCTGTCTGTTTCAGAGGTGGAACATTTCAGCCCGCAGCGCGTGTCAGAGAGAGTCTTATTTCATCTGCTGCGGCACCCCAGCGTCAACCAAGAAGTGAAGTTTGACCCCGGGAACCGGCTCAGTCCTGATCACTACCTGTACACGCGGAACCACCCTGTGGATTACTTCATTCTGCTTCTGCAGGTGCGAGAACAACACACACCACACACCACACACCACACGATAAACCTACGTTTCAATGTGCCTGTGTTTGTGGACATGTGTTCCAAGCTCATAAATACATTATCTAAATATGATATTATTACTATTAGTAGCAGTAGTATTTTTATTATTAAAATATTCACACTAAAAATTATATTTTGCTAAGACCTATATATCAGTAAATGAAAATGCTAAATATCTGCACTCTAAAATTATTTTTATTAGGTTTAAGTAGGAGATTAAAACAGTGCACACATTTCGGCTGTCTGCCTTCATCTGTGTTTAACATTGATAATAATTCCTGTTGTTATTATTATTTTAAAAAATTATAGTTATATTTAAAATATTTTACAAATAAATAAATATTTAAATTATGTATTAGTATTAAGCTGTCCGAATGTGTTAATGGTGTTTAAACTTTTTTTTTTTACTATTTCTTATCATAAGTTCACATTCTTGGTCATAGTGTATGTAAGGCACTTTATAAGCACTGGTGTAAATAATATTGTTAATGAATATACAATATCTAAATATGATATTAGTAGTAGTTGTAGTATTTTTATTATTAAAATATTATTATTTAAAACAACATTTGAAATATATTTAATATTTGATCATTAACATTGCTAATTTAATAATAAACGCCCGTTCACACCAAGGATTACTATACAGATAACAATAAGGACATAGTTCTAGAAATATATACATGTATGTAAAAGAAATAGTCCACAACACAACTATAGCGATAATGACACTGAGAAATTATACCGTTGGAATCATAGATATCCATAATAAAGGCTAGATGTCTTACGCGGAGTCTCTATCGTCATCACCGGCGGCCATCTTGTCACAGGCAAGCTTTCTGGCGGGCTCTGTGGTACCTTGACGGATTTACAAACGATTTTTTTATTTCTTACAAACATTATTAACGTGGCTATAATTCTGGATGATTATTTATTGATACACTTATTATTCATAAGTATGCAGTGTCATAACTACATCTCTGACGTTTATAACAAACCAAACTGTTTGAAAATCGGTGGAAAATTGAGCAAGTTATGGTTATTTAAAAAGTACATGCACCATTAAAACACAATGTTACGAGTGAGCGAGCTGCCTGTGACAAGATGGCCGCCAGGTGCGGACGTCGACCTCCATTGGCCAGCAGCGCGGACGAGACATCTAGCCTTTATTATGGATATCTATGGTTGGAATCACTTTCAGAATGATATTTTCCCACTGAAAAACGCTAAAAACATTGACAGCCAATCAGAATCCATCCTGCTTTAAAGAGCTCGAGCTTTTAAAGTGACAGATGACAAAACTACAGCGCGCACTTTAAACAGAGCGATATCGTCTGCTGCTGTAAACACTAATATAGTTATCGTTCTTGGTGTGAATAGGCCCTAATATTAATAATTAATATGTAATAATAATGAATCAAAACAATAATACTAAAATTACTATAATTATTGTTGTTATAAAATTATATTTAATGTATTACATTTTACATTAAATAATATTTAAACATTGATAAATAAATTATTTTATTGTTGGAATGTGTTAGTAGTAGTAGCTTTAGAAGAGCTCGATTTCTTATTATAGTTTCGCATTCTTGATCATGGCCCTGTCCATTTATACAAGGGAGAGTTTGTCTGGCCATATTTCAGCCTAAAATAAAAAAATAGGTCATGTAAACGTAAAATGTAAATAATACATTTTTATAACAAAGTATTAAATAGCTTATTTATATCAATTGAAATGAATATTTTGAATTATAAGATAAAAGTTTGTATTTTTTGATGAGATATTTGTGTGATAGATGTTTGTGTGCATGTTTGTGTGTGTGTAGGGCCGTGTGGAGGTGGAGATCGGGAAAGAGGGATTAAAGTTTGAAAACGGCGCGTTCACTTACTACGGCGTCTCAGCGCTCACAGCTCCCTCCTCAGGTACGGCGTTTTAGGATAATCCCAGATCATCTCTAAATCCATCATTCTAATCTATTTATAATGCGGCTTAACAAAAACAAAGAGCGCTGACTCATGAATGTTGGCTTCAAAATTCATGATAGTCAAAGACATTCTTTAAGCTGTAGGGCAACAAGACAAAAACGGCTGATTCTGCAAGCCTTTTGTGTTTTGAAAGCAAAACAGCCATAGGGGGCTATTGTTTAAATGTTGATGTTTCACCTAACCAGTCATGCCACAAACCTTCAATGTTTTTCTGTCCTCGCTGAGAGTAACATGTTTGCATCCAATTAGAACATATTAGTTGATTAATGTACAGTTCAGTGGATTGGAATTTTAAACCAATGAGATTTTACTGTGGGTGGGGCTACCAACAAAACAGCAAAAATGTAAAGCATCAGTTCTCGCAGTAGCGGTTAGTTAAGACACAAAACCCAGATAAACATCAGATTAAGTGATTAGATTGATCACTTGTTGTTTTATTGCGTAACGCCTGATTAGCTCCACAGTGTTATTGCACTACCATGAATGTCAGCAGTCCATGTTGTGGTATATTGACCGTAACGACTGTCGGTGTGATCAGTCCACCAGTCTCCGGTGTCCACACAGCATCAGTCCCCCAGAGACCCCTTTGAGCTGGGAGAAGCCACCAGCCCGTCCAGCTACTGTCCCGACTACACAGTCCGAGCCCTCACAGACCTGCAGTTCATCAAGGTGAGCGCACAACTTTCCTTTTACTCCTTTTGTGCTTTTTTTTGTTGTTGCAATAAGTAGGCATTAGTACGTATTTGATTCAATTCAAATTTATTTGTATAGCGCTTTTCACAATACATATTGTTTCAAAGCGGCTTTACAGAAAGTGCATTTCAGAAGTGTACATAGAAAAATAAAATATTTGATCACTGAGCATTGATTGTGAATCAAAATTGACCCTATTTATTTTCATAATACATGTTCCAAGTCTAATTGTGCATGATTCGTCAATGCATTTTAAAAAAAAATAAAAATGTTTCTCCTTCATTTTAATAATAAAAAAAAGTGTTTTTCTATTTTTCTCACTATAGAAACTGATTTTTTATTTTCTGGTAAAATATTTTAAAAAAATTATTATATGATTAAATACTCAAACATTAATAATGTTATTACTATTGTTGTTGATGTTGTTATTTTAACATTTAAAATTTAATGTTAAATATATATAATAATATATTAATGTAATTAAATATTGTTAAATATTTATATTTATTATTAAATAAATACAATTTAAATATATTTTTAATTTATTTTTTAAATACTCAAACATTTCTAATTTAATTAATATTGTTGTTGACATTGTTATTTTAACATTTAAAATTAAGTATTTAATATACATATATAAGATTATATATTATATTAAATCTATATTTTTATTATATTTTTAACATTTAAAAATATTTTTAAATATATTTAAATGCTCAAACGTTGGTAATTTCATTACTATTGTTGTTGATATTTTAACATTTCAAATTTTATTTAGAAATACAAAATAAAATAGCAATTAGAATAGTTTTTTTTTTATAGATAAAAGTTTTTCGAGACAGACCGACCATTAGCTCTGATGTGGTTAAGAGATTATGTATGCGTTGCGTGCACATTACATAATTAAGTCTCACATACAATCTGAGATACTACTATTTGAATATTTGGCAATAAATATGAAATATTATTTTTATACCTATAACCTTGGAGTATAAGTCAACAGTTTTATATTGTACTGTTTTTTTTTTTAATTTGATTAATGGAATTGTAGTTCATTTCCAGCAGAAGTTTTTTGCTTTAAATCAAAGTTTGTAATGTTGAGATCCTTCTCATAGGTTTTTATATTTGGCCCCTACACATCCTTTCATCATTACACGATTTCAAAACTCACCTTAAAACATATCTTTATGCTACTTGTATCCCGTGATTTCTATGTTTATGTACCACTATCTCAATTTATTTGTATTGTTTCTATGTCTTGTTTGTATGTCATGTTTCTATGTCATGTTCCTATGTCATGTTTATTTGTACTTTATTGTAAAGCGACCTTGAGTATTCTGAAAGGCGCTATATAAAATAAACGTATTATTATTATTATTTACTTAAAGTTTTTTTACTTTTTGGTCGCACATGGGTAATGTTCTTGTGTGACCTTCAGAAAAGGATGCATTTTCTTTTTCTGCTGTTAAAATGGTCCCGTGTCCCACAGGTGACCCGTCTGCAGTACCTCAATGCCTTGATGGCATCCCGGGTCGCCCAGAGCCCCGACCCCCCTGAAATTAAGATCCTGCCCAACAGTCAAACCAAACTCCTGAACGAGAAAAACTCTACTCAAGGTGCGTGGCTTGAACACAGCAGCACACATGCATGAGACACAACATTGTGTGCTTTGTATTTTGCGGTGTAATTGGCTAGCATTGGAATGTTGTGGCGTCTAAACATGCAAGAACAAGTCAACCGGGAATGTCTATAAAACTGTGTTAAACGAGAGGCTTCTGTCTACATCCCTCTCTTCTGCTGAACTAAGACTGTGTTCTCTTTCTTTGTCTTTTTCTCTCCTTCCCTTCATTTTCTCTTCCTTTTTGTCTCCATTAGACTTTCAGCTCCACTATTCATTCTTTGACGCTATTGACAACTACTGTTAGTGTACTTTGCATGAGGTAAATGCAAGTGATAAGCATGATACGTTAAGTTTGAAACGTGTATCCCATCAGCACTCGAGGCATCACAGAGCGCCACCAGGTGGTTGGTATGATACATCAGTGCATGCCAAATGATACGGATAGCGGTTACATTTGAACGCATCACTGCTATGAGCTTAAGTCAGTCTTTTTTCCCCTAACTTTTCCCCTAAGTAACCCTCTTCTATATTAATGCTGTCTGTTGGCACCTCCACATTAAACTCTCAGACAGGATATAAATGTCCAGGTAAGTCTTCTTATGAAGTTCCCTTTTCTCAAGCAAACTGGTAACTAATTACAGCTGTTTTTGAGCCAATTAATAAATCAACTTTGGCTAAAGATGCTTTATACAATGCCCCTTTTAATATAGTAGGCATATATTGAAAGCCTATATTAACAGTATTTATTTTTTTACTTACCTATTTACAATTCAAATGGTAAATGGGTGAATCTTACAAAACCTGTAACGGAATATGTGTCCATATTTCACTCCAAAATCAAATGAAATGAATAAGAAATTATACTGGTCTAAAAAAAGTTGTTACAGTTATGCACATTATCTCACCAGTTTCATTACTATAACAAAAAAGAACAAAGATATACATATTTAAATTGTAAAATACATCATATTAGTATTTGTTGTGCCAGCTATAAAATATATGAATGTATTTTTTGTTTTCACTTAAAAGCAGTCAAATTAAAATTGAGTAATGTACAATAGCTTTTATTACACTAATGAGAATCTAATGAGAATAGAAAAGAACTCAAAAGTAAATAATGCATTAATTACAAGGGCTGAATTGTCACTATTATAATGTGAAAAAAAATTTTTTTAAACTAAAATATGCCTAATTCTTCTGCAACATATATATATATATATAAAATAAACATTTATTTAAATATTTGGTTTGAAATGTGTTTTTGTGGTCACCAATACTCTCTCTGTCAGTTTAGAAAAGCCCTAAACAATTATCAGCTAATAAACAGTCATTTTAGATTGGGGAAAAAAATGGCTATTAATAATATCATAAATAATGTAATAATCAGTATCAGGCAAAAAGTCTAAATCGATGGATCCAAAGCTTTATTTGTTATTGAACTTTTTCCTTTCACAGGAAACCTCATAGTTTTTCATACATCGCTGTACTGTACTTGTCTTCCGATAATAAATAAGCTACTAATATATGACAAATGTCTCTAAGTTACAATCATTCATTGGACTTAAAATTAAATGGAAATTGTTTCTCGATCTCTAAATCCATCTACAATTTGCAAACACTTTTGAAATCTCAGCCACAGTATTTCGGTCATTTTTGGACACGCTCCAGTGAATGATGTCAGAACATGAAAGATGAATGTGTGTTTTTGACGGATGGTTTCCTTCTGGTTTCCTGGGATCTGCAGGTGTGAGCAAGAGCCAGGAATCTAGTACAGACGAGGATCTTCACAGCCAGAGAGGAGCGTTTTGACCTTCTATCTAACCTTCCTCGAGAACTCGCAAGGATTTTATTATGACAACTAATTTGTTTGTTGCCGTCTCATACGAATCTTTTACTCCTGGAATGCAGCGAGGGAGCCAGATGGAGGACTGTTGAGGAAAACAAAACGCTGTGCAAGACGTGTCATTCTGGTCAGAGGCGATGTTCTCGCTCTTCTGCTTATTCAGCCGTTGCCTCTGATGTCACTTCCTCTATTCGCTATGTTTGAGTTCACTTATTTTCTTAAGGTGTATATGTGTGCATATGTACTACTAAATTAAATGGTGTTGTGCCAAGATCTTACTATTCCTGTCATATCATAGCAGTATTACACCCCTGAATCCGATATTGTCAAGCCCTAATGTGCCAAAATGAGTTCAGAGTGACAGAAAATACTCATTGACTCACCCTCGTTCCAAACACATAAGCTTGTGTTTTCAATGAACAACGTGTTTCCGCAGCTCTTTCACCATACAATGGCATTTAATAGTGGCTACAGCTGTCAGGAACATGCTTACAGGAAAAAAATGGATCTGAAGATTGATGCCGTTAGCTATCACAATTTAAAATTAGAATAATTTCCCCAAATTTAACTTTAGAACCCAAATATCCAATGTATCGCTAGTACATATTTCAAGTTGACTAAACTTAGAGACAGCACAGCACAAAAACTTGATTTTTTAAGTTTAAATAATTGTATGACTTACTTCATTGACACAATCAAATATCATTCTCCATACATATTTGAACTGGAATAACCAAGGCATAATGTCATCAAATCTGAACATGAATATGATTTCATAGGTTTCACAAAGGTTTGATGGAGTGTCTTTAGATCATATAAAAGATATTAGATGCAGAGGTTTTAGAAATGTCTACACTTGGTCCCTTTCTGATTATTTGCTGAAAAACATCATTTGGAGAGTGACATTAAAACTCGCCGCGCTGATTTCTCTGTGATCCCGACCCATTTCCCACCGCATGCCTGCACTCGGCTGCCTTTCAATTCTGCATCTCAGAAACATTTGAATAATATTAGGTGACTATGCCTTGCTTGACTGTAGCGATGTAGCTAACAGTATACATGAAAAATATCGAACATTTCCCAAACTGGCGCTAATGACCATTCCATCGGAATAACCGGAAAAATAGATCTTAGCAATATTACAAATCCCAATGTTATATTTTGAAACATAGAAACATTGTGTAGATGGTTAATTAAACTAAACTCTTTTTTATTAATGATTCTATAATTTTTTATTTTTTGCCATTCCATGGTTTTCTGTTATAATGAGTTCTATCCGTTCCATGCTTGTCAGAGAAGATGCTTGTTTTTAAACACTCTTTATGACATTCCAGCGAACCATTCAAAAGTTTGGGGTTGGGAAGATTGTCATATTTTTGAATAAGTCTTTTCTGCTCACCGAGGCTGCATTTATTTGATCCAAAATACTGTAAAACAGTAATATTGTAAAATAATATTATAATTTATAATAACTGTTTTCTATTGTAATATATTTTAAAATGTAATTTATCATCACTACTCGAGTCTTCAGTGTCATGATCCTTTAGAAATCATTCTAATATGCTGATTTGCTGTTCAAGAATATTTATTATTATCAATGTTGACAATTGTTTTCCTTTTTTTTCTTTTTCAGGATTCTTTGATAAATAGAATGTTCGAAAGAACAGCATTTTTTTAGATAAAAAAAATCTTTTGTAACATTATAAATGTCGTCCTTTTTCATCAATTTAATTATTATTTTTTATTTCTTAAAAAGTCTTACCCCAAACATTTGAATGGTATAGTGTGAACTTTGGGTTTTGTTGTGCAAAGAAAGATGTGAGATTTGAGTAACTGAGTAAAAGGAAAGACCTTCTTTTGTGTACAAGAAATGCAAGCCTTCATTCAGCCTTGTTCAGTTTTACTAATGCAAATAATCATGATGTTATGATGCTATTTTTAGTAGTATTTTACAAGTGTGCATATTTATGTTGTCTTCATTATAACCCAACTGCTAAAAACTGACTGCACCGAAGTAAATATTTTTCTGCTGTTAAAAATCTTGTATTGTTTTTTCTGTTGTAAAAGTATATTTATATGGTCACAAAATAATGAATGTATATGTATATATATATATATATATACATACATACATACATACACACACACACACATATTAAAAATACCTTTCTTGTCTTACTCTATCAAGAGAAAAGCTGGGGGTTTTATATCGGGTGAGATGACTGTAAATTAATATGAAGCTTCTGAAACAGAGAGGTGACGTGGGAACAGTTTCTGGCAGATGACAATTCTTCAGGTACAAACATGTTACCAGGGACTCAAACACACTTTTACTTCTGACCAGCCATTTTTGAGATTCAAATCTTCTCTGTATTGTATATGAGCCGTCGAATCCTCTTGATAGCAACTGTTTCATAGGAAATAAATACAAACCAGTGCTAAAATGATTGTCTTTCATTTTGTATTCTGTTTCCAGTGCGTGTTGCAGAGCTCCAGTAATAACTTGTAGATGATACATTAAATAGATCTAGAGCAGGGGTGCATGGGGAACGTTGATCCTGGAGGGCCATTGTCCTGCAGAGTTTAGCTCCAACCCTAATTAAACACACCTGAAGCTAATCAAGGTCTTCAGGATTGCTAAAGTTACAGGCAGGTGAGTGTTTTTTCCAGGGTTGGAGCTAAACTCTGCAGGACAATGGCCCTCCAGGATCAACGTTCCCCACCCCTGATCTAGAGGTTACCAATATGGTATGTCTATGCAGAATACAGAAATGCTTGTTATTAGCGACACTGATGGCCGTTTAGTGAACTGCAGCCATCAACATATTGCTCGATGTTTGCGCTTTCCTTTCAACAACACAACAAAAATGACAGCGGTGACAAAACAACCGTTAAGAAAGCATCAGGCGAGGTATTTAAAATGACACTGTTATAGTATAAAAGTAGCTTAGTATAAAGTTAGTCAGCTGCAAATATGGCTTGACCCCAAAAAAATTCTAACAAAAGGTTTCTTAGTGGTTTACAGTAGTATAAGATGTACTTCAAAACATCACGCCACCGTCAAGGACATAATGCTCATTTGGTGGGATGGAATCCAGGACAGTTTTGTTAGATTTCTTGCTTGCTCGTTACATCTTCCAGTGAAAACTGTTCAGTTTTCGACATGATCAGGAACCGTTGGAACAGCAAAGCAGGATCAATGGTTCGGTCTTGGGCAACTTTGATGGGTGGTTTAAAGGTGAACTAAGCAGTAGCGCGGGAAGGGGGGTGCTGCGGGGGCTGCAGCCCCCCTCGTCATAGCCACAGCCCCCTTGGTGGGGGCTGTGGACTAACATAATATTGTACTAAAAAACGTGGGGGGGGGAAATGAAAATATACATGCTGTGTTTGAGTGTTCAAGCTACGGAGAAAATGAAATAAAGTTTGAATTTGTCATGCTTAGTTTGTTCCGATCAGAGCATGTGAGCGGAGAGCGCATTTCTGAATCCCTCCGCTCGCTCATTCCGCTCAGGGTCGCGCGCTCAACCCTGAATGGCCTGCTGGTTCGAAAATATGTGGAATAAGGGCTGCCTCCGACTAAAGTTTTCTTCTAGTCGATTAGTAGTTGTTCATTTTAGCCACTGTGGACACATCGCCCCTCTTTATATTGATTTAATTACTTAAATAGGCTACAGGATGAGCGTTTACGTAGCCTAATATAGCCGCACTCAAGCGCACGCCCGCACTCATAAACCTTGCCACAAAGAACCGGCGAAAGTAATGATTATTAATGTGTCAAAAATAGCAAGGAGACATTTAATTGTTTATTAATAAACAGGTGTTTTCTGTGTCGCTGTAAAGATGAAGTTATGCGGACTCGCCATGAACGCCAGAGAGAAATGCACATTTGATTACATAATCAGAGAGTCGTCTATTTCTTTTCGTTTTGAATAGTTTCGTTTTAAAAGAAGACATTTCAAGCTAATAGATATCCTATATTTATAAAATCTGTGAGGCACAAGCTGAGTTCCGGCGCCCTCCAGTTTACGTGCAATGCAAGTGATCGCCGGCGCCTTACATTGTCTGCTATATTTGCTTCTTATTTAGCTATTAAATACAGGCAATTGTTTGATAAAACATATCAAAATTAAGATACAATTTATACTAAACGAAAATATTTTTAAAAGAGTCTTTCTACAACAACAACAACAAAGACATTTTGGGTATCTCATGATCTCATGTATCATGTCTTTCTCACGCTGCACGCTCACTTTCATAATCAACATTGATTAAATAAAAAATAACATTAGCCTATAATATTTAAACATAAATATGAAACTAAATATGTTTTCTTTATTGGCTACAACATATACAGAGAAATGTCATGTCTTGTCGTCAGCCATAACACAATGACGTCACATATTTTCCAACCCAGCCCTCAGCCCCACTCGCATGAAACAGCTTCCAGCGCGCCTGGAACTAAGTAACTTTTTTACCTTAACCGAACAGCTTTGGAGTCATTGTAATGTTTATGTTGCTGTTTCGTGTTGAATGGTGGTCGTCTCGCACCCCCCTGGTGCCTGTGAGCCGCAAAACCACCCTTGCAACTTTGGGCCGGCGAGCCGCCGGCCTGAATGTTAGGAAGTATCGTGTGATATCAGGTCTCGCGAGGTAACGAATTACTTTACGGCAAAAAAAAAAAAAAAAAAAGATCTGATAAATTCCTTCTTATACTGTATATGGATCAAATTCTGATAAAATGAGCATCAAACAGAAATAACCCGGCGCCATATATATGTGGTGTTGGGTGCGCGCAGCGCTTAAAGGGGTCATACCTTGTTATTTCCACTCGTTACAGCGTCCATCCTACTGAACAGGTACCGGTGTACAGGGGGAGGGGATCCAGCCGTGAGTGCGAGCCATCTCTGCGTGAGTGCTTTTCAGGACAGTACAAGTGCAAAATTAATACATTTTGTTTGAGCAAAATGGTACACACTGTGCTGCCAACAACATTTCAATAAGGCAACGATATCAAATGTCTCTTCCACCATCTTCTGAATTGCTGAAAATTGTGAATCTAGTTTTGTTGAGTTTAATATAATGCCACCTTTATCCACCTTTTTCCTGGTTAGCGAATTTACCCATGATTCATAGCGGGTTTGAACCGGAAGCCGGTTGTCCTTTTCCGGTTCGAAGCTTTATGAAGATTAAGCGCCGCTCGCTCAGAACGCCGCAGTGATGTGCTGGTTAGAAAATATGTTAAATAAGTAGGGCTGCCCCTGCCCGTGCACGACTGAAGTTGGGTTGGAAGTTATGTACGGACGGTATACTATAATGCTAAACCATAATGGGCGTTTTCGTAATATATTGACTATTCTGCATCTCAACGCACACATAAAGCTTGCCACAAAAAAACAGCAAAAGTAATGATTATGCATGAAACATTTGAAATGTTTATTAATAAACTAGTGTTTTCTGTAAGTGTCGACTGCGAAGATAAATTTGATGATGCTGACTCACCATGTTCGCAGTAGAGAACGCGCCTATAGAGAGAAATGTACACTTCATACGAATTAACCTATACATAAGCAGAGAGTACACATTTCAAGCTTTTAAAAGTACACATTTCAAGCTTTCTGTAGATATACTTCTCATGTATGTGAGGCAAGTAACTTATAGCCTACGCTGAGTTTCGTTGATTAATAAGATGCGCTCCAGTTCACGCGCCCGCGCCTCCGTGTCCTGTATATCTACTATATTTGCTTCTTATTTATTAGTATTCCAGGCAATTTGTTGATAAAACATTGATTAAAATGAAGATACAATTTATACTAAACGAAATTCACTTTAAAGAAAGGCTTTCTACAAAACAAAACTTAATAAGTGGTCAAAATCATGTCTGTCTGAGCCATTCCAAATGTTTTCCGATATTGGGCATCTTATGATCATATCTGACTCATCCCATGCGGTTCCCTTTTCATATAATCAACATAGATGCAATAAATAAATAAAACATTATTGTGAAACTTAAATATAAAACGTATGTTTAGTTTTTTGGTTTTTTTTTTTTTTACTTATATTTAAGCATCACTGCTCCGCTTTGCTCATGTGCTCTGGTGTGTAGCTTATAGCCTATACATGCATGTGTGCGTGATGTGATGGAGGGGTGCGATTTTCGATTAATAATTGAATAATACCCAGCGATCTTCGATTATTATTTTTGCTTGAAATGCCCATCCCTACTGTTAACCTATTAGGCGTTTGTCAACAAAATGGTGCGGAGAGACATACACCTTTTTCGTTGGATGCTTCAGTTTTAGCATAGCTAACCAAAAACGTCTACTCTCTGGTATTGAATGTAAGTTAGCTGATACGAACCGGACATGGGCATTCTCTCCGTTTTATCTTATGCTCAAAGCACCCAGTTTCTAAAAAGTTTTTTTTTTATCTTCTTTGAATTGTTAAAACAACCAACAAAAGCCAGTGGTGGAGGAAGTACTGAATCTCAGTACTTAAGTAAAAGTACAAATAACCAGAGACATATTTACTTTAGTAAAAGTAGAAGTACCACAATGACAACCCTACTTAAGTAAAAAGTAAAAATTACCTGATTTTAAATGTACTTTAAGTATTAAAAGTAAAAGTACTTGCATAACAATGTATTCTCTTAATGTCTATATTCTAATGATTAATAAAACAGTTAATTCTAACTCATTCAACCTAATACTCATATAATGATGTTCAATATGATGGAAAAGCAGTTATATTTTAAGTTTTTATCACCATTTCTGAACAAGCTTGCAATTAGGCAATATACACATCAAGCTTACTATATAGCCTACCCTTACTATATGGTATATATATATATATATATATATATATATATATATATATATATATATATATATATATATATATATATATATATATATATATATATATAAACACATATTATGTTAAAACGCCGTATATGACGGCGTTTGGCTGTAAACGCGATTCATTTATGGCGTAATTCTGAACCTCTTGGCTTGCCATACTAATCCTAACCAAACGTATAATACACACGCACCCCACATCACTACTACCAATGCGTTTCCTATGCATGTAAAAACTAATTTTCGTGTATAAATTGCACGATAAACACACTGCGTGCTATAGAGACGCATTTAGTGTGACCGGGTTGATATATCTATGGCAACCAAACTTTACTGGTGGTGAGACAGAAACGTGCGATGAACGGACGGTCAGGATGACGTTTTGGCAGAGGGGAAAAACTGATCAGAAAATTTAACGAAAATGTAACAGAACGTTGTAGAAATGTAGTGGAGTAGAAAGTATAATAATTGCTGCAAAATGTAACGAAGTAAAAGTAAAAAGTATGCACTATTAATTCTACTTAAGTAAAGTACAGATACGTGAAAAAATTACTTAAAGGTTCTCTAAGCGATCCTGGGTGACGTCACTTCTT